TTAATCGCACCCCCGGCGAGAGACCCTGACCCCAGGCTCCCCAAGGTGGGTCTCAGAAAGGAAGGGAGGCGCTTGCTCCCTCGTCGTGTTCCTCACCTAACATCCTGTCCGGGGCTCGGCCGGGAAGTCAGCCTGCCCACCCTGTCTGGGTGGGGGAGGGTCTCTCCGGGGGCTCTGTGGGCAGAGCTGCTCCTTGAGGCACATCAGCCTTCAGGACCCCTGGGATCAGTGCTGCCCTTGAGACTGGCCCCGGGGGAGGCCTGTGGTGCGCCCTCCAGAGCCTCCGTCAGCGGCCTCGCTCAGGCTTCCTGAGAAACAGACCGAACCCTCTGGGGTGCCTGCCCCCCCGCCTCTCCCGGCTCCCTCACTTCCTCCAGCCACCTTCCCCCACACCGGCTCCGACAGGCCGCCTCGCCGTCATCTCCGCCTGGAGTGCATGGAGCCAGAGCTGCCGCCTCCCCTTCACTGACGTGCATGTCCAGGGGCCTTTCCAGAGGCCCCGTTCCCCTGCTGGTCCTCCAGAGCACCTCTCCCCTCTGCACCCGAACAGAGTCTATGTCTGTCCACTCGCTGGTCGCCTGGCACAGTACTGGTGCGGGAGCTTCCTGGGAGCCGGACGTCCTCGGACAGGCTCATCGCCACTTCCCTAGAGCTGAGAACGAGCTCCTGGCACAACATAGGTGCTCAGGAAATACTGACGGGAAAAATCACCCACGCAGAAGGGTACTGCTGCCACTGGCTCTGACTTCAGCTTTTGGCCACGAGGATTCAGCGGGCAAAGCATAGACACGGGGCTGTCGCCACTCCCCCTGGGGAACAGCCTTAAGGAACAGGGAGAACCGTCGGCGTGCGCGGCACCAGGCTGGGGACCTGCTCCGTCTAGGGGCCGATGGGAGGCTTGGCCACACGAGTATCTGTTCAGTGCTGTCAGAGCAGAGAAGGCCGGAAGGGAAAATGCCCGATGTGTGCTACACGGGGGAGAGAGAGGCCAAACAGGAGGAGGAGGAGGGGCTGTCCTAAAGCCCCAGTGAGCCCCAGTGTGTAGGTGGTGGCAATGACCTGGAGCGGTTATGCCTGTCAGTGTGTGTGAATAAAACTCAGTTTTTTTCAGATTGTTATGAAGCCTTTAAAATATTAAAAAGAAAACATGCTGTAGAAACTTATGAAAACTGCTGCTTTCCCTGGTTTCCCCCATCATTCGGCTTTGAGTGACCAGGTGTGTGCAGGCCTGCTAGGCTGCCGACGATGGGCTGGCCCCAGGGACTCCCTGCACCATCTGGGAAATAGACAGCTGAGGAGCATCTGCACGGGCGGCACGTTCCAGGGGGCCCGTGCTGTGGAGGTGCAGCCAGGGCTCCAGCCTGTCCGGGGTGCCAGCCAGAGGAGGCGGCCCTCTGGGCACAGGGGCACTGGGGGCATATCCAGGAGTAGAGGCTGCGCATGGCCCTCGTCCCTCCCCTCCTGGTGAACACCTGAAGGGAAAGGGAGTGAGACTGGCAGTGCCAACAGCAGACTGGTGAAGTGTTAGAGCTGAAAGGAGCCGCAGAGAGGCTTGCTCAAGAGGGAACTTGAGTCGAAAGTGAGTTCCTCAAGATTAGATGGCTGCCGCTGACGGAGCGGGCAGCAAGAGGCAGGACTCTGTCCTGTGTGATGTGCCCCAGAGGACAGCCGCAGCCCAACAAGCTGGCATTACAGATGTCTTCTCATGAGACCCCTCCTTCCTCCTGCAGGACTGCACCGGTGAGGGAGGCCAGCAGCAAGGCCGCTTCCGGGCGCTCAGGCTTGTCCCCTGATGCAAGTTTTTCTCCATCTTCTGTGCCACAGGCACTTAACTTTTCCCCAGAGAAGAGGGATTTTTCCTTTTCAAAAGCTGCACTGGATGGAGCACAGCCACCTGAAGATTCATCCCCTGCTGAGGTAAAAGGACAGGTGTACCTAGTGGTGTCACCTGGATTAGCAGAGGTGGCCCTGGAAGCCATGGGGCAGCTCAGGGTAGTGGCCCACGGAGTTGCCCCTGTAGGAATTTGTCCATGACCCTGGGCCTCCAGTGCCAGCTGTGCCAAAGAGAGAGGACCACAGGCCACTAGAGGGGACAAAAGCCACACTTCCCCCTGCATTTGGCCAGAGGGCTGGGGCTCACAGGACGGGAAACAGGTAGCAGTGCAGGGCGAGAGAGGGAGTGCAGTGTTGGCCTTGGCGGGAGGGGGCGGCCCAGTGGGTGCTCGGCCAGTAACCACCCCCCAGCCAGCTCTCCCCACTCAGGGGCCCACCCCAGCCCTCCTTTTCGGGTTTCCAAAGCTGTTGGCTGCCTAGAGACATAAAGCCCACATTTTGCCAAGATGGTCAAACAAAAGATGCTAGAATCACCTTTCAATCTGGTGTTTTTGTCTAGGCTATTCTCGTGGATGTTAAACCGGACCAGCCTGCCATCGCTTCAGAAGCCGGCAGCACACCCCTCCCCGACCTGCCTCTCATTGACTTTTGTGATACCCCAGAAGCAAATGTGGCTTTGGCGTCTGAAAGCAGACCTCTGATCGACCTCCTGATAAACACTCCAGACCTGAGCAGAGAGGCCCCGTCTAAGCCTCTCCCTGACGTGGGGCAGGTGAGGAGCAAAGGAGGCCCTGAGCTGGCTTCAGCCTCAGGTGGTCTCGGTTCTGGGCGTGCCCCTCATCCTGAGGCACATCACAGTGACCTTGGGGAGTGGTCGCGGAGACTTGCACGGTGGTGTGTCTGAGGGGGTCATGGCAGTTCCCCCCCAGGATCCCCAGCGCCTAAAGCATGGAGAGGGAGCACACCTGCTGGAGGAGCTCTGTGCCCTCCAGGTGTGGCATCCTCTCCTTCCAGCTTCCTGGACGGGACAGACTTACCGAGCAGTTATGGCACCGAGCCATGGCAGAGCTGGCTGTCAGGCAGCCTGGTGCTCAGGGAGCCAGCCTGCGGGGTCGCCGGGCTGGGCGGGGCCACGTGGGTGCCTCCTCACCTCCGTTACGTCTCTCTTGCAGCTGATAGACTTGGCTTCTCCTCTGATCCAGCCGAGACCTGAGGCCGACAAGGAAAACGTGGATTCGCCACTTCTCAAGTTCTGAGTAGAATGATCCTTTGTGTTTTACTCTTTGTTAAAAGAATCATCAGTCCTAAAGTGGTTTTCAGCCCTTAGAAATAAATTCTAAGAGGAACTGTACTGAAGAAATTAAAGAAAAACAACCCAAAGTGAAGTTGCTGGGCCTGGAGATGGCCGCAGGACAGTGGGTTTCTGCTGCCCCCAGCGGCTTCCCTCCGCGCTGCCCCGCACACTGCTCTGGGGTACGGCGCTGGCTGGAGTCGCTCCACAGGAGGATTTTGTTTTGAATCTTGTGTGTGTAAAATAGCAAGGGACTTTTAAAAATTAAGTGTGTATGAAAAGTTAAATACTCTAGATTTAAACTGTAAAATAAATGAAAATGTATTAAAGCATTTATCTGATTTTTAAGATTATTTTGATTTCAAACATGCCTAGCTGTTTTCATCATTCTGAGTATGCAGGGTTTGTATTACCCAAACTTTCTTTCTACAAAAGTAACTTTGAAAATTTTGTGTGCATAAATACTGGTTTAAATGCAGACCTCAGGCTCCCTGCCCAGGTCTGGGGCAGGCCTACTAACCTGTGTTTTCGGTGGGCAGTCAAGCGATTCAAAGAGAGGCTGCTCTGGGGAGGTGGGGTGGAACAGAGAGGGACGTTGGGGGGACAAGGAGGCAGTAAGGCTGGACCCCCGGCTGTGCTCCCAGCAGGGGTGCTCCCGGTCGGGGGAGCAGTAGGGAGTGGGGGCAGAGGGCCACTGCAAAGTGCATTCCCTGCCGGGAGCCATTCTAGTTTGACATTTTCTAAAAACCAGCTGGCCTGGAAGCTGCTCATCTGTACAGATACCTCCTCATTTTATGAGTCTTAGTTCAGCAGCTTCACAGCTGACAGTTGAAAAGCAGCTAATAGGACCTGCTTTCTGGACTCGCATCCTGTGTTCCCTTGTCCAGTGGGGGCCGAGGGAAGAGCTGGTCGGGCTGTGCTTTAAACTTGCCCCCGTCACTGCCTGGAACGTGACTCACCCCTTGGAACAGTGATCCTGTGGCATCGGGTAGGAAAGAAGCACGCATCACCAAACAGCATTGCGCTGAGTTCTCAACTGCAGTCGTGACTCGGCTGTTAGACTCTCAAAACAAGGCACCCTTGCTCTGGAATGCTCCCTGACGAGCAGGAGAGGGCCTGTAGGAACTTCAGTTGTCCATTCTTTTCTCTGGGCTCTGTTCCAGAGGGCAATACAGAATTCTAGAACCCAGGATTAGCGCAAGGCTCCTCTGATGTCTGGTGTGGCCCCTTCACAGGAAAATCCAGGATCGAAATAATTCATTGAACAAAATTTATGAAGACTGCTATTGGCAGGCTGCATTTCTGCTGGGGACACAGAGGGTGCAAATGCCCACCTGGGGGGCTTAATGGTTTGGTGGGAAAGAAGGGTGTTAAACTCTGAGCTCATATACAGTATAAATGGGGCTCTGGTCATCCCATCCACACCCGGGCTTGGGCCCTCAGCCTGCTCCCTCGCTCTTGTTCGGCGCTCCCCCAGGCTGCCCGAGGAGTGGCCAGGCTCTCCTTGGCACCAGGATGTGCTGTCCAGTTTACAAGTGCCCCCAGCCAGGACAGAAGAAATGATTTTAATTCACCGATAGATGGAAGGAACCCCAAGAGCACGTGGTGACTGAGAGGGCGCACCCCCACACCCCGCCAGCGCGCATCATCCCCTTCCTCCTGGCCTGAGCTCCTCGTGCCGTCCTGTGGAAGCCGCTCAGTCCGAGATGTCCTCTACAGTCTGCCTTCTCTGACTCCCAGATCCTGGGCACTCGGAGGGCTGTGTGTGAGAAATCACACCACCCACCGGAGCACTGAAAGCTCAAGGCTACTGGGCCCACGGGGTGGCCACTCTGCACAATGCTGTGAGCTGCTCCTGGATTGGAGGTCCACCTTCACGTGATGTTTACCACATTTCATGAATACATCACTTTTCAGCCACTTTGCAGGTGGGCGGGGGCATACCTAAACCCAAAGCCCTTTGCAGGGGCAGAAACATTGCACTTCTGCCCTCTACCCTAACCTTGTACCAAACTGCCACACCCAGGACAGGGTAGCCCTCCAAACAGTCCCCAAATGCAGTGACGCCACAGATTGAACTAAATGTTCATCCCTAAATCTGCTAAAGGCCAGGTGTCCAGATATTGGGTTGACGTAACTCTTCTGGGAAATGCTAGATGGAACTGCTACCTCTGTTAGATTTTTTCCTGGCAACTCATTCTTCAGAAAAGGCGGTCAGTGTTATCACCCCATGGGGCCTGTGCCCTTCCCTCCTGTGTGGAGCTCACCTCATTCCTGCTCTTGGTTATGATTCTCCCGTTGGCAGTTTCTGCTTCTCTTTTTACCAATGGGCACTTGGGGCTTCCTCATTTCACTCTAGACCCTTCAAACTATTCCTGTTCTCAAGAAAATGGTTTGTTTTAATAATTGTCCATGTTCAAACACTTTGTGTGTGATTTCCAAACTGTCTGCATTTGTACTACTGGCATGCATTTCTCAAACCGTGGTTCAAATCCCACATGAAATCAATTTGGCACACTGCACCAGTTTAAAAAAAAAACGAGAAAGAATAAAATGGAAGATAATGGATGCATGGCACACTGCAAGGGTTAAGAGCTATTGAGAAGCATTCATTTTTACATGTACATGGGTACTTTGGTGTGTATTCGTGACCGCCCTGTAAAATGTGACACTGTGGGTTTGAAACAAAAAATTTGAGTCACTGATCGCTGATTTAAAGAATGCCTGTGGACTGTCGCCTCTGGTTTCCCTCATCTCACAGTCCTCTGAGTCCTGGGGCACTCTGCCACCTCCCTGCTCTCAGCTTGTCAGCCAGCCGGTCCCTTGGTCTCCTGTCTGGGCCTCTTGCTTTCATTCATACGTCCTACCTTCCCACACTCCCCTTTTTAGGCCCAGCAAGTGTTTCCAACCACTTCTATCGTCCAGAAATCTGCCCTCTGTCATTGCCAACCTCCAGCACGTGTTCACCTGCTCATTCCTTCGGCAATAGTCGCACCAACCGCGTTGGAGCTGACCTGGCAGGCCACCCCTCCCCCGCCAATCTCCCACAGGACGGGAACGCCAAGTCCCTCCCGCTGCATCCACTCCACCAGCGAGCGCTATGGATTTGACCTCCAAACCCATCTTTCCCAGATGGCCATCAGGGCCTCCTCCCCACAAGGCTGCATGAACATGTTGCTAGAAGTTTATATGTGATCACTTCGCCCCCCGGGTTGAAGCCTCCAGTGGCCCCCAGGCCCAGGGGGTCTGTGCCGGGAGCGTGCCCCGCCGCTGGGCCTGCAACCCCGGGCCCGGCAGCCGGCAGCGCCAGCGCTTCTGCGGAGGTCACTCAAGACGCGGCCGGGCTTCTGGCAGTGCGGAACTGGGCACGCGGAGCACGTTTCCGGCCGGGAGGCGTCCGTGGTGCCGCGGCGGGGCAGGACTTCCGGCGCGGCGCGGAAGCGGCGGCGGCGCTGGGACAGGTTCGGCGCACGGATGCTGGCTGCGCGGCACGTCGTGTGCGCCCTGTCCGGTGGCGTGGACAGCGCCGTGGCCGCGCTGCTGCTGAGGCGGAGAGGTGAGGGGGCCGAGGCTCTGCTACGGGCCGCGCGGGCTCGTGGGACCCCCGACCTACCTGGGCGCCGGGTGTGCGCGCGACGCCAGCCCCGACGGCGCCGCGGGCGGTTCCCTGAGTCCGGGGGCTCGCGGCGGCGGCGGCGGCCGCGCTTCCGCCGGGAGGGGAGCCGGCCTTGCGACCCTCCCGATCGCCACGCGGCCCTTACGCCACGTGGGCGCCGAGATGCCCGTGGGCGCCCTGCTCGGGGATCACGGCTGTGTCTCTGTTCAGTGCGGGGCAGGTTTCCGCAAACCGCTAGCCTTCATCTCAGCCATCTAAAGGGTACCGGGGTCGGAGCAAGGTTAGGTGCTCCTCTAAATTCGCCACCCGTGCGACCCTTTCTCATAGTGCGGCCGCGTCCAGCCAGTGATCTTGGTGGAGCCTCTGCTCTGAGCCACCTCCGGGGCAGGCGCTGGCAGTGCAGAGCGGATGCAAGGTTCCTGACCTTGGGCAAGCTAATTAGGCTCCCCTCCGCTGTCAGAGGAGAGGCACTGGGGACACAGGGTTGAATGAGACCGAGGCGCTGCCCTCTGAGGAGCTCCGTGCTGTAGTGGGTCGCAGGAGGGGACGGACTGGGAACGGGAGCTAGCTAGCTGTGCGAGCAGAGCCAGGCGCTTCTGGAAGCAGGGGGCCTGATTCGGGGCTGGCAGCGGCCGGGCCTGTGAGTGTGGTGGGGTCTAATTTTGGCAGAGGTTTGTCATTGAATCTCTGTTCTTTGGGATGCCCTGTTTTTCACTACATTACCTAGCCCAAAGAAACATTTCTCATACACGGTCTGCACGTCTGTAGTTCACTGAGTTGGTGTAAGGCTAAGGTGGTCTTTTCCATATTTGGTTGGGTACTTTGTCACAACAGAAAATGGAAAAATGGGTCATAAACTACTTAGGTAGTATAGCTTGTATAATAAAACAGCCCAAGTTTTAATTATGTTTGATGATTCAGAAACTAAGTCTTAGATGATAATTGGGAATAACTTTTGAAGTTAATTTACTTTTCTGATACCTGAGTGGTGGTTTTTATTTGCTTTGAGAAATTCTGTTTCATTCATTCAGCACACATTTGCTCAGCCTCTCTCATGGCACAGGCATGGTGGTGACACAGGGTGGGGACATGAAGATGAGAAAGTACCATTTAGCTCATCCTGGGAGGCAGGCAAGCACCTCCAGTCCAGTGGTGTATTGTGATGACGGAGGCCTTTACAAAGTGCTGCAGGAGAGCCGGGGACAGAGCCGCTAAGCCAGGCACAGGTCAGGCACTAGACTGCCACTAGGCTGTGAATTGGCTCTGAAGGCCACGTGGTAAACCAGCATGCAGAGGCTTGGGAGCAGCAGGCAAGAGAACTGTCAGGAGCTCAGAAACCACTGCCTTTCCCCCGCCGATGTTGATTTTACATATTCTTTAATTTATCCTTCCTCCTTCCCCCAGGTTACCAAGTGACAGGAGTGTTTATGAAGAACTGGGACTTGCTGGATGAACATGGGGTTTGCACTGCCGACAAAGACTGCGACGATGCCTACAGAGTGTGCCAAATCCTAGACATCCCTTTCCATCAAGTGTCCTATGTGAAGGAGTATTGGAATGACGTGTTCAGGTGAGTGCCGTGCACCAGTGCAAAAGGCTTCCTGACGCTCTGTGACTCCTCCTCGGGCAGGACTGCCACAGAAACCTCATGCAGCCAGCACTCTGGTAGGGGTCAGGGAGGCCTCAGCCGCCACGGGAGGGGACCTCTGTGTTGGGAGGCCAGGCCGGAGTCTCAGAGCACCCACAGCTCTTGCTCCCTTATCGTGCCACCTGCCAGAATCTCCTTAATGGCTTGTTGAGCCTTCAGTTTGTCTGCTTTTAACTTAGAGTAGGGGAGCTAAGGCAGAGGTCTCCGCTGGGGGTGCCATGTGCTGGGTTCCGATGCCTGTGTGGGTCAGCAGTGGGGGGCTCTGAGGGAAGCAGGTGATCTACTCCCCTGTACCTCTGACAACAGGAAACACACAAAAATTTTAAAAGTCTAATGTTTTCCCAACAATTATTATTATTAAGTACTTATTCTGTACTATGCACTGTGGCATGTTTGGGAACATGAAGATGTAAACCCAGGACCCCGCTCTGTAGGAATTTGCAGTTTGGTTGGGAGGACATCACCTTCAAAAGAGGTACTGGTGGTGAGTTGCACATAGGAAGTACCAGCGATTCTATTAACGTGCTGCAGGTTGAGGAGGGAGAAACATGCTGAAGGAGTGGTCAGGACGGCCTCATGGAAGGTGAGGTCTGGCCTGCCCTTGAAAATAGCAGGGATAGAGAAGACATCTGAATGGGAAAGCAAGAGCAGCGGCGAAGAGGAGAAATGCCCGTCATTTGTTTCCGGAATGTTGAGAGCCTTGACTGGACTTGTCACAGAGGAAGGACACTCAGGAGTGGGGTGTGGCGAGGCTTGAGTGGCCATCCAGGGTGTCCCGGGCAGCAGTGATGTGCACAGGCGTGGGTTATACTTTATGTCAGGGAATCCTTGGGTTCAGTCCTGATTCTGCCACTTACTGTGTGACCTTGGCAATTTACTTTGCTAAGCCTTGGTTTTCTTATCCTGTAAGTGGGGGGATGCTTCATAGGGTCTATTGGAAGAATTCAGTGAGGTTATACATTAAGGGCCTGGTATCAAGCAGTACATGTAGCTGTTATTATTCATTATTTAAAAGAGAGCTGGCAGCTGGGTGTCGGGGGGAAGACTGCAGGCAGAGAATATAAGGACCTGCTGGGGCTCGAGGCAGCAGGGTGTGGGTAAGAGCTGGAGGCTGGCTGGGGCAGGCCCCCAGAGGGCGACTCCGCTGGGAAGTAGACTTCAGCCACAAGAGTTGGCTGGGGTGCTTGTTAAGCACGTACCTGGACTGGGTCTGGGACGGGGCCCCAGAACTTGCACTGTAACCGGCACTTCAGTCAGTTCCCATGGAGGGGCTCCCTCGGGCACCTCTGGGAGGAGTGCTGTGTGGCTCAGTGACCGAGGAGGGATGGAAGCAGGGGAAAGGGAAGGGGAGTCAGTGACGGTGGTGCGGGGTCCAGTCTGGACGGGTGCGGAAAGCTGACTTGGATCCCCGTGAGTACTGCACAATTTGAGGTGATAGCAAGAAATCTGGGTAAATTTAAACTTTACTCTTTATTGCTAAGTTTTGAAAGTATGTGAACAAGTCCTTTTTTTGGAGGTTGACTCACATTTAGCTGAGGCCTGGCAGTAGATGCCTTGTTCCGAGTCCCGCAGCGGCAGACAAGCAGAGCTTGTTCAGAGCCCAGGTTGCCAGGCCCGTGTTCCCCGGGCATCCCTCTAATATCCCCGCCTGAGCCTTGGACTCTGCTCCTTAGGGGTGAAGGGAGGGGGCCCCACGGAGTGCTAGCTCAGCCCTGCACGCTTGCCGGACTCAACCAGAGTGCGCTGTGCCCTGGCCTCATCCCCCTGCCTCGGGTAGAGCTGTAAGTGTGCTTGTCGAGCTCTTTGCTCTGAGGACTCACTGCTCTGATAGTCCCCAGAGCTCAGAAATGTCTCCTGAGTCCTTTTGTTCAAGACCCAGTGGGCCTTTGGGGGGGCTAGCTGTTCTTTCCAGCCGCTTCCCTCACAGAGAGCAGGCAGGGTCTCTGGCCGCCAGGGGCTGTACTCGTTTGGTTTCGCCCTGGCAGCTGGTGTGTTTTCTTCCTCCACACCACCTGGCAAATGGTTAACTTACACTCTTCATACAGTGGTGTAAATGTTCAACCTCCTCGGTGTTTATTCCAGGCTTGTTATGGAGCAAGAGTTTTAGGGACTGTGGACACACAGAGAGAGCGAAGCATGGATTCTACCTTAAGTAGCTCACAGTTTAATGAATCTCTTGATAACTTTCTTACAATTAAAAAAAGGAGAAATGTGTGTTCTTCTCAAGTGTTTGAAAATAGGGAACGACACATGTTTTAGGCATTCATGGGACGAGTGATGACAGCGTGGCCTGCCCGCTAACGGTCAAGATGCACACGTGACCTGTGACCCTGTGCAGATTCTTAATCTGTTTCATAATGTGACCCTTTTGATTAATATTGTTTTTTATTAACCATTGTTGATCAATGGAGAGCTTTAGGTTAAATTAAAAAATGATCACATATGCCAAAAATTTACCTAATTTTAAACTCCTGAAACAGGCATTGTATGCCTCCCAAGATGAATACTCTAAGACCATGACATTCTCGCTGAACATCCCTCTTCCCTGTCCAGTCAGTCCGTCAGCAGAGAGCTGCTTAGTCAGGATGCCTCGTCCACTGTAAGTGGTCAGGAGGGTGCTGGTACTCAGAGGTAGGTGCTGGCCACACAGGCAGCCAGTGGCCTGGGCTCCCAGGCCGAGATGGCGAATGGCTAGGAGAGCCCTGAGTTGTAGCTTGAGGTTATTCCCGCTGGGAGTCTGGGGTGCCCTCCTCCTCACCCCAGCCTTCCTCTGTGGAAGACAAAGGGGGCAGGAGGTGACTGAGCCATTCATATCCCTCCCCACACACCCTGGGGCCTCCGGGAGACAGAATGGCTGCTGAGCAGTAGCAACAGGTGATAATACCTTACTTTCTAATCCAGGTTTATTGGTCATAAATTCAGACAGAAAGTACAGCTGGCTTTGTACAAACGTTTGATGAAAATACTGAAAATGGCTGTATATTGAAGCTCTTCTGTTTTGCAGAAAATGACAGTTTTGGTAAGACCAGGAGGAACTAAATGGAGCAAGTAATTTAACCTATTTGTGTTTGAGGAATGTTTCACACTGAGATGCAAATTCATTCCTTTTATTCCAGTGATTTCTTAAATGAATATGAAAAAGGAAGAACTCCCAATCCTGACATAGTCTGCAACAAGCATATCAAATTCCGTTGTTTTTTTCATTATGCCGTCGATAATCTGGGTAAGTAGTTTAGAGTATTTTCATTTATTTTTTTAAAACAAAAGATTTTCAGAGAGAGCGAGAAGCCACAGCCTTGTAACAGTCTCACCGCTCAAGGGAAAGGGGGCAAATGAAGGTGGTGTCTTCTGTTTCCCTGCGAAGAGAACTTCCTGGCGGCGGTGGCAGCGAGCGTGCTGACCACGGGTCCCTGGGAGGAGAGTGCGCCGTTCCTCTAGGACTGCGCAGACAGGGGCGCAGGCATGTCGGTTCTGGGGAGCCCACCGCATAGAGTTCTGAGGGAAAATAGGGATCATGGCCAGAGAATTGCGGGGTGGGGCCTCTAGGCCCCGCCTGTAGGTCCAGCTTTGCTCAGAGAAGCTCTGGTTCCAGATGTAACTATAGTGAGAGGAAGGTCCACCAGCCCTAAGTTAGGGCTTGAGAAACTCAGCGTTCAGTTTCTTGCCTGGTCATCCTTTTTGCTACTCACCCTGAGGTCTTTCTCTTGCTTTGTCCTGAGAACAGGTCTGGGTCTTTGTCGGATTCTGGATTCTGGGTCTGTTCCTCCGGGTTTGCAGCCAAGTCTGGTGCTCTATTCTCGAAGCCCACCTGGTGGCGAAGGCCCTGCCCCCCTGACCGCCGGCCTGCAGTTGGTGCTTGCCGGCACTTCTCCCTTCTCATGTCTGTCTGCCTGTTGGGACATCCCCATTCCTTCGTTCTGAGACCACCCCTGGGTGTCTGTTGCTGTACCTTGTGAATCCAGGTTCTTTCTCCTGCCCCTGCTGTTGGGGTCACCACAATGAGCTTCTGAAGTTCTGGATACTTTTATTATGGCAGTGGCATATTAATTTACTTCATATTGTCCTGGTGTTGAACACTTTGGTTGTTTAAGATTTTTCTTAGTATAAGAAACACTGAAATGGACTTATGTACTTAACACTTAGTGTGCATATCTGTTTCTTTAAGCTAGAATGAATGAGGGATCAGTGTTTTTTTTTGAAAGGCTCTTGAAGACAGTAAAACTTTGTAGCAAGGCTGTTATCAGTCTAAGGAAGAGTCAGGCACCGCTGGCCCTTCAGAATTGAAGGCGTGCGTCTAGCCCCTGGCCCTCCGTGTCTGAGAGCGGGGCAGATCCTCTGCAGACCACCCACGGCAGGCTGAGCTCCCTTGGCCTGTGCTGAGAAGTCTGATCCGTGTGTTTCTGGACACATCACAGGAGCAGATGCAGTTGCCACAGGTCACTATGCAAGAACATCCCTGGAAGATGAAGAAGTCTTCCAGCAGAAGTACATTAAGAGGCCAGAAGGGCTTTTCAGAAATCGATTTGAAGTTAGAAATGGTAAGTTAAAATGCCTGCGTCAGACCTTAATTATTTGCAAACAAAGTAAAACATTTTGAAGAAGGACAGCAGTCGTGGTTTGCGCATACCTGCCGGGTCTCTGTGTTCTCCTAACTATGTGCTGCTTTGGGTTTCCTCTTGGAGAAAGTCATTTCCCCGAAGGGCCGTGACTGGGCAGCGGCAGAAGTCCCTGCCCGGTGCCCGGGTATGGGCAGGTGGGAAGCTGAACCCATAATTTGTAACCCAGTCTGGAGAGTGTGTGTGTGGGTGATTCTCAGGTTCCCATGATACTTGAGGAAATATTTTACAATAATTGGAGTGCTGTAGGCCCTGTTACTTCCCATCAGGTTTTTGAGGGCTTGAGATTCAGGCATGCTTTAGCGTGAACAGGTGCTGGGGCCCTGACTGCCATAGCCAGGCCAGGCGGTCAGGCTTGTAGCAATTACAAAGATTGTGCACACACATTAGTTTTTGGCAGTGTAAGTGGTGGTCAAAGGAAGCAAAGTCTCACCTTTCTAGAAAAATGTAAATGCCATTAGTCAACTGCGAAGCTGCTGGCTTGTCCTGGTGTATATTTGTGTTTAGAAAAGAGTAGTCATAGAGTCATGATGGGAAAGACAGAGGGACCCAGAGTCCGTTACTGGGGGACTCTCCGTGGCCATAGTATCATCCCGGAGTTCAGCGTTTCTCCACCTGTCACCTGCTAGCAGCCTGCCACATGGCCGCCTGCCCCTTCCCCCCTACCCCTGGCTTTACACGCACAGGTTCCTCTTCGCCTCTCCTGCCAGTGTAAGGAGCTGTGCACCCGTCGCACTTCACAGGTGAGGAAACAGGCTTGGGCGAGGTCTTCTAAGCCAGATGCCTCCAGCCGCAGAGCTGGATCTCAGCCCAGGGCTGCCCACCTCTGCGGTCCGGGCTCTCCCTGCCGCCCCAGAGCCCAGCTGAGGCCTGTGCGTGAAGGGGGCCGTGAGCGTTTGGCCGTGCGCTGTGTCACGGGAGCCCCGACGTGCTGGCGGGTGCCCCGCCACCCTGTCCCCTTTCCTCGCGCTCCCCTTTCCTCACTGCCGAGGGACTCAGATAACCTTCCTGCCTGGAGCCCGGACAAGGTCAGCACTTCCTGGGAAGGCCTCCCTGCCGCCTGCAGGGCTCTGGGCCTTCAGCTGCTGTGTTGGCCTTGGGGCCTCTGGCCCCGCCAGTGGGAGGAGACGGGACGGTGTCCTCGGCTCTCCTTTCTGCTGCCTTTCTCTCTCGGGCACCTCTCTCTGGGGAGACCCTCCATATTGGAAGATGGCAAAGCCCTGCTGCTCAGGAACCGCATGGTGTGCGCCACGCGCATGTGCATTAGAGGGAGCCACGTTGATGAAGGATATATTTCCACACTGAGTAGACTTGAGCAGACTGTTTATCGCCTAGAAAATTCTTTGCCTTCCAGAGCTACCCGGACCTTTGTGCTAGACCCCAGGCCTCAAGGACTCTTCTGGTCCATTGGCATAGGTTTTGTTGAGAGAGTTTATGTATAGTTGTTTTGATAATTCCTAGTGTCTGCTCACGTGTGTTCCTTAGGCACACTAAAGCCTTTTACTTTACGTACTCAGTTACCCTAGAGATACGGATTAGGGCCTCCTGGCCGGGGTCTGGGGAGAGCGCACGTCGGGTGACAGGGAGCCAGCCCCTTACGCCGGGGCTCCAGGCCCTGGCCCTGCGCTGGCCTGGGTCTCTGCACTTGTACCAGTAGGGGTGGCGCCCCTGGCCTGGCCCCGCATGCAGGAGGCTGGAAGGAGCAAAGGTGCGTGAATAAAGCTCCTGGTGCAGGCAGGCCTTCAGCTCGTCATAGCTCCTTGCCGTGGTTTAGGATTGCCACTTTTCTTGTGAAAGAATAATATTTTGAGTTTGTTTAAAAATAACTCATAATGTTCGTCATATAACTGTAGATTAATGATGCCAAAAAAAAATAACTCAGAGCTTTAAGAAAATGTAAATTGCTTGTAGTATTCTGAGGCTTTTTTATATACACACTGACTAGATTGAGTTTTGAAAGAAAAAGTAGCATTTGGCAAATGAGTCTGCTTCCCGATGACTGGCTGAACTCAATTTTTCATTTTTAACTGATTTTGTGGTTTTGAATATAAAAAGTAATGGAATAGAGGTTAGGAGGTTGGGCAGTTTTCAGTTAATGCTGTTCTCTTACCTCTCATCATTTTGTTGAGCCACTTTAATTTAATAAAACTCAACTTCAGTTTCCTTGTCTGTAAAATGGGAATAATTGAACCTCACTCAGCTAACATGAGAATCTGATTCAGGGTTACCCGTGGAAAATATGAACTCCACAGAGAGGCTGTTGCACATATGACTGTGCCAGGCAACGCACGCGCACACATGTTGTTTGGACCTGTCACAAGTGTCGCATATTCTGAGTATGACTTGTTGAGGCTTCTCTGAGCATTGGACAGGAAGAAATACTGAGAGAAGCATAATACTGATGTCACGTTCGGCCTTCTCCCTTGGTCACTGAACTTGACATGGAGTCTGATAGCTGCAGCAGTGAAACTGTAAAACGCTGGGCAGGGCTGCCATGGCCCAGAGATGGAGCCGGGCCTTCTTTGCTGTGCTGGTGTCACGTGGCCAAGGTCTGTCATACCCGTACACCGTTGCCTTCGAGCCCAGTGGTTCCTTACAGAGCAGAGGACATTAGAGAAACTGCAGAGGAGCGCCTGGCAAATGTCAGCTTGGACTCTGAACAAAGAACAAAGAACCTAAAAGAAAATGCCCTTGGAAGTAGTGTGCTGCCCGAGGTGGTAGCCTTCCCCAGAGGACGCAGCCAGGGCCTGGACGCTTCGGGGTTGTTAGGAAGTCCCGCCATGTCACTGGGATATCCTGGTGGTCGTCTCATCCAGTTTTCCTGAATTTGGCTGAATTTATTTTGGACTTGTTTTTTTCTTACACTTCAGAACACTTTTTTATGTGTGATGCAACTTTGAAAACATTATAATCTAAATTATGAAGAGGAACAAATTGCCTTATACATAAAATGTACCTTCCCTCTTTTTTTAGAACAGTAGATAAATTAGGGGTGAGAATTTTTCTTACCACAACCATGTGGCTGCTTTTTCTAGTACTCTGCTTTTGAGTATTGGTTTTTGTTTCTGACAGACCAGGGCTATTCCAAGTAAACAGGAGGACGTTACTGGGAGCAAAGGATCATTGTTCTTACTCCTGCAACATCTTTTGTTCTTTACTCTTGGCAGCGGTAAAACTTCTCCAAGCAGCTGACAGCCTTAAAGACCAGACCTTCTTTCTCAGCCAGGTTTCCCAGGATGCCCTGAGGAGAACCCTCTTCCCTCTGGGGGGATTAACGAAAGATTTTGTAAAGAAAATAGCTGCCGAGAATAGACTTCATCACGTGCTTCAGAAAAAAGAGGTAGGTTGCAGGGTGTGCGTGTTCGCCGCGCCGCTCCAGTGTCTGGGGAGAAGCACCACTTGCCGGCCCCGGGCGCTAAGTCGGTTGGGAGCCTGGGAGAACCTCCTCCGAGTGCAGCTGCGTGCACAGTGGGAGGTGCCATTGATCTTCTGAGGCAGCGTAGGCAGATCTTCTCCCTCCTGCCCCTCCTGGGGCTGCTGGGGAGCTCTTGGCCCAGCCTGCCAAGTGGGGCAGGGCCCTGAGAACCAGGCACCCCATGCAGGGGAGTTCTGTGCTGTCTGCGCACAGGTTAGCCCCCTGCTTGTGCCGCACACTCTCTTTGAGGGCCTCTGTGCCACACACTGCTGCCGGCCTCTGAGGAGATGGTGAGGAGCACACAGCCCCGCCTCATGCCTGCCTCCACGGAGCTGACAGAATGCATATCCCTGTAAACTCTGAATGTCTGAGAGAAAGTGGAGGACCCCGTGAGACAATACCCCAGGGGCTCTAACCTGGACGGGGGGCGCCAGAGCCACCAAGCAAGGCCACGGAGGAGATGACAGCCAACCTGAGGCCTCAGCTGCACGGGTTTAGTGTCATGGAGCAGGTTGGAGGAAACCGTGTGGGTGGGGGAAGAGCTTGTGCAAAGGCCCTGAGGCAGGAAGGAGCCTAGTGCATTGGTGGAACCGAGGTGAGACGCCAGTGTAGGGGGCTTGGTGCTAGAGGGAAAAAGTGGGATGGGCTGGTCCCGGTGTCCTAGTCTCCTGAGGCCACACTGGGGTGGAATCAGCATTCGTGGTAGCTGCTGCGTCAGGTCTGTCTGGGAATGGGCGTGACCAGGCCTGTTGTCAGCAAGTGATTATCCCCAGGGAAGACACGCCTCCACCCGTCATCCATTCCTGTCCCTGCTCAGTTCCTGGGGGTGGCTCTGGGGGAGCCAAGGGAGCCACCCTCACAGGGCCCACCTTCTAGAGGCACGAGCCAAAGCACAGGTGCTAAGGCCACGGGGCGTGTGCGGCGGCGGAGAAGCCCTCATCCCAGTTCAGTCTTCCCCTGGGAAAGGGATCACCTGCCTCTGACTGTCCCATGGACTCTCAGCTTCTGGCGTGTCCCTGCTCCGGCCCCTGTCTGTCCCTTGGGACTCGTGGACAGTGGCCTGAAGGGCTGGAGCAGCCTTGCTCCCTGGGGCAGTCAGTCTGATGGTCAGCACACGGGCAGGCCCTGCTGGGTGTAAGTGGCTTGGCCTTGGGGACCTTAAGTAGACCCTGGGTGGCTAGGACATTGTGTAAGCCTCTGAGGTCTGTTTGCGGGTTGTGACTGGGGTCTGTGGGTGCTGGCAGAGCAAAGCCAGGCCCCCTGTCCAGAGGTGTGGTGAGGCGTAGGGCAGGAGGCCTGGACGGAGCGTGGCCCCCTGTTCTCACGCAGGACACATCCTGCCTGTCAGTTCATTTCATGGTCAGCCCTCCTTTCATTTCAGAGCATGGGGATCTGTTTCATCGGTAAGAGAAATTTTGAACGTTTCATCCTTCAGGTGAGTTCTTTGATATAAGAGAACGGAGCCAGGTTTCTGCTGTGGACCTGAGCCCACTAGTGATGAACCTTTTGTTTCCCAGTATTTACAGCCCCAGCCTGGTAAATTCATCTCCATAGAAGACAGCAAAGTTCTGGGAACACATAAAGGTGCGGCGCTAGCCTGGGGCTGCTGGTCCTTGTGAACTCCTTGAGGCGGTGGCGGGTTTCCGCTCTGGGAGGCAGGTGGACACCTGTGGTTTCTCTCCTTCCACGTGGGCCGTGAGTCAGGGGGACTGCGGGGAGCAGAGGCGGGGTTGGCCGTGCGGGGGTTTTTGTGTTTCAGGGTGGTGTGGTCTCCTTTAAGCATTGCAGCTAGTAGAAGGGGGTGCCATCTGACTCAGAAAGACTTCACTGCGTTGTGTTTTAAGTTGCATAAAGTGGAATTATTTTCTTCTGTAAAAGAGTATTATTGCACTGCAGAAAAATTCCAGCCTGCCCCTCGGAGGGAGCTGGATTGATTTCAAAGCATGAGTTTCATGATTAGTACAATGAAGAGATGGGGTCAGTTGTTGTACACGTGGCAGGGGTGTTGCATTTGGGGTGCTGCTGGCTTGCTTACATTTATGAGGGGCAGGGCACCCTGAGCTTGCACTGCGGTGGCATGGGGAGAATAGGGACAGAGATGAGTCAGAGTTGACAGGCCGGTGGGCGCTCACATGTTGGGTAGGGGAGCCGGGGGAACATCAGGCTTGGGGGCTTGAGGACCAGGTGGGTCTTGACCTAGAGCGGCCTGACCTGCTGGAGGGATGGCCTGGCACTCAGATGTGGGCAGTTTCAGCTGTGATTACAGATCTTTGGAATCCCCCACCTCTGTCTGGGCAGATGGCTTCCCTTTCCTGTCAGGGAAGCTGGGCTTGGATGTCACTGGTTCCTGGAGAGCTCAGTGGGGGAGTCATGCGTTCCCGAGACAGGAGGAGGTGACAGGCCTTGCTGGGGAAAGAAGTGCAGGTGCCTCCTGGTCATCCCCTGCAGGAGGCCGTCAGATAACTCCTGGTGTTCGGGAGGGAGGGTGCGGGAGGGGCTGCGCAGAGCACAGTTGGGAGGAACTGGGCACAGCGGTCGGGGGCACCTGATGTCCTGGTGCCAGTATGGTTAGTATATTAGAGGGGCTGGCAGGGGAGGGCGTACATCAAGGGCTCAGCAGGACTCTCGGCCTCAGATGGCGCACAGCCCACCTTCTAAAGGAGCCAGCCCTGCCCCTCCTGGACCAGGTTCTCCCCAAACCACCCCTCGTAGTGGGTATGAGGCACAGCCTAACCCAGGCCCACACGAGGGGTGGGACAGGCTTAGGGACTTGGTCAGGCCAACATTGGTGGCTGGAGACCCATAGCTTCTGTGGACTGTCCATGTGGCCCACAGCCTCCCACCTGCTGCCTTCCTGCTCCTCCCATCGTGAGGGTGTGATGTTCGGGATGGAAGTGGGTCCCACCGCGCTGAGAAACTCTCTGCCCATAGGTTGGTTCCTGTATACTTTGGGCCAGAGGGCCAAGATCGGGGGCCTGCGCGAGCCCTGGTATGTGGTGGAGAAGGACAGCGCCAAGGGCGACGTGTTTGTGGTGAGTCGGCAGGCTTTGGCGGCGCCCGCCGTGTGTGCGAGGCCAGGCCGGGCTGTGAGGGCCGCCCGGCGGCAGTGAGGGAGCAGGCGCCCTGGCCTTCCTGCAGCGCCCTCCCTTGACTGGCCCGAAGCCCCAGAGGGTCTGGTTTAGGGTACTTCTGAGGCTCTTAGTGTATGCTGGCCACTCTTCATTATCGCATTAGTTCTGTAAGTAGACATTACTGCTCTGATTTTACAAAAGAGTGTAGTGAGACTCTGAGATGAAGGAGCCTGAAGGTCCCGTGGGGAGGAGGCGGCGTCCGCGTGGAGGCAGGCCCAGCACACAGCGGGCCCCAGCAGGTCACTGTTGAACAGACCGAGGTGGCAGGGCCAGACTGCGCTGTAGGGCCAGGCTGTAGAGCAGGGCTTCCCAAAGGGGAAGAGTTTGCCCCACCTCCCCTTGGACATTTGGGAAAGTCTGGGGACATTTTTGTCACAATTTGGGGGAGGCTGGAGGGAGTGGGTGCTACTGGGGTCTAGTGGGCAGAGGCCAGGACTGCTGGTGTGGCCCCACAGGAGAGCCCCACCCTGACGGCCCCCCTCTCAGCAGCACGGAAGTTGGGAAACCCCTGCTTTGAGCAAGTCGGGGCTGCCTGGTGCTCTGTCCTAAAGCTGGGGGCCTTCTCTCAGACACAGACCTGGGACCTCTGCCAAGAGGGGCCATGGGTGTAGAACCCTGGGCAGGGATTGCTGCCCAGCATGAATTAGTGATTTTAGTGTTTCTGTGGTCTGTTGCTTGAAGAAAAGCCAGGAGGGCCATCCTCTGACTTGTCTCTGTGGGGGTCTGCCTGCCCCGGGTCGGGGACGAGGGCCTCAGAGGCAGACTGCCTCAGTGTAGCCCAGGGGGAGCCAGCACCCACCCCTCTTTCCCCAGCCATGTGGGGTTTGGTGGGGTTCCTGCAGTGGCCTTTTTGAGAAGCAAGCCAGAGATGTGGCTGGCCCATATCCCTGGCACTGGACCCAGGTGGGCTGGTGGGCGCAGGGGCTGGATTGGGGGGCAGAGTGACCTGAACTTGTAGGACTCTAAGGTCCGGGCTCCCATCACACTTCTGCTTCTCTCCAAGTGTGCCCATGCCAACACATTTCCCCCTGTGCCCAGCTGCCCTACCTGCAAAGTGGGGACCAAAAGGCTGGCGGGGTGGTCCCGTGAATTTCCACAACGACGCTACATTTCATCAGTAAGCGTGTGCTGTTAGGGTTGTGACTGACAGCGTCTCGGGTGGTGGCTTTGGGACGGAGCCCCTCTGCCAAGGGCTGCAGGGCGTCACCACCACGGTGTTACCCCCACAGGCCCCACGGACAGACCACCCGGCCCTGTACAGGGACCTGCTGCGGACCAGCCGCGTGCACTGGATTGCCGAGGAGCCGCCCGCTGCCCTGGTCCGGGACAAGATGATGGAGTGCCACTTCCGGTTCCGCCACCAGATGGCGCTAGGTGACTGAGCAGCGGACCCTTCAGGAGAGGCCCTGGGTGGGCTGGGCAAGAGGAGACCTGGGCCCCGAGTGCCCCCTGCTCAGGCTTTTGTGACATTCAAAGCCCCCTTTGCCTGCCCTGGAGACGGCACTGGAAGGTGCTGAGGCCCAGCTTAGCTCCCTTTGTCCGGGGTGCTGGGAGGGCCTCGGGAGGCCCATGTGTGGCAGGCCAGGTGGCAGGCAGCCCTGATCCCCTCTGGCTGCTGCCCAGCGTCCCTGAGCAGCCCTCGCCCCTGCTGCCTGGTACTCCTTCCTGGGGCCCAGGGCCTGAGCTGACCACGTGGGGCAAGGCCAGTGCCCCGCTCCAGGGACCCCTCTCTCTCACCAGTGCCCTGTGTGCTGACTCTCAATCAAGACGGCACTGTGTGGGTGACAGCTGTGAAGGCTGTGCGGGCCCTCACCCCAGGACAGGTCAGTGGGGTCCGCCCAGCTTCGCACTGTGCTCTGTGGGCAGAGGGGACACTGGCTGGAGGGCAGGACAGGGCCTCAGCACCAAGTCTGTGTGGCTGGGAGCCAGGTCCTCGTGCTGGAGGTGGGCTGCACCCCTTGCTCAGCTGCCCGTGTGGATGAGGGGGCCAGCCAGCCCTGCCCGTGGTGCTCTTCTGCCAGCTGCCCTGCCTTGGCCTGCCTCCAGGCTGGGTCCCAGGGGCGAGGACAGAAAAGAGGGAAGCAAAGCATTGCCCCCCAAGCCCAGCCCAGCAGCCGCAGGCTCCCCTGTCCCAGCTCCCGCCGAGTGACATGGCCTCTCTCGTTTCTAGTTTGCTGTGTTCTACAAAGGAGAAGAGTGTCTGGGCAGCGGGAAAATCCTGCGCTTGGGGCCGTCCACCTACACACTCCAGAAGGGCAAGTCCCGAGGGGCCCCCGAGGGCTCTGGCGATGGCCTGGGCAGTGGCTCAGGCTTGGGTCCCACGCTCTGACACAGGCTGGACTGCTGCTGAGTGCCCGGGAGTAGCCGAGGCAAAACAGCTGGCGCTGGGCAGCCAAGGGAGCTTGGCCGTGTCTGCCAGGCTGCCTGAGATTCCGGAAGGCCTGCAGAGCCAGGCAGGGCCCCAGGAAGGCCGCCCTGTCTTCTCCAGGTCAGAGCTCCAGTCAGAGGGACTCGCTGGCTAGAGGGAGCTCCTCTTTCACACCCCAGGGAAGAATTCCTTCCTGGGAGCATGGGAGGGGCCACAGGGACAGCATCAAATAAAGTCCTGTCTGGGACATGGATTCTGACGGTGGCCTCCAGTGGGGTGACACGCTGGCCCCTCTGCAAGTGTGGAGGGGACCCCCCTGGCTAGCCCTCCCTCCTCCCCCCGAGGTCCCAGCCCCGTGTTTGAAGCTGTGCTCAGTCACCTGTGGCAGAGGGTGTGTGCTGGGCCCCGAGCTCGGTCCCAGCTTACCAGGTTGTGCTTGAGGGAGGAAGAAGCCTTGAGTGTGAGGTGGAAGGCTGCTGCTCAGAGGCCACTGCTCTGCAGAGGAGCTGGCACCCTGGCCTTTTAGTCCTTCATCCCAGGAAGGAGTTTCTGTGATGTGGGGGGATGGGAGGGCGCGTGTGTGCACACACGAGCTTGCGTGTCTGTACATCTGGGCTGCCTAACAAAATACCCCAGACTGGGCGGCACAAACAGATGTCTCTCTCGCAGTGTGGAGGCTGAAAGTCTGAGGTCAGGGCACCAGCGTGGCCGAGTGACGGTCCTCTTAGCATGCACAGATGGTGCCTTTGTGTCCCCACGTGGCGGAGGGTGCAGGGAGCTCCCTGGGCCCTCGAAGGGCGTTCATCTCGTTCAGGAGGGCTCCACCCTCATGACCTAAGCACCTTCTGAAGGGGCCCTCCCTGCGGGTCCCAGCCGTCACACCGGGAGCCGGCTTCCAGCCTGGGGATTTGGGGGCACGCAGACTTGCTGCGGTTCTTGGGAGAGCGTGTGTGTGTGCTGCACGGAGAGGGTGGCTCGGGCAGGCCGAGAGCTGCTGGCAGATGAGGATGACGGACCTCAGCACCAGCTGAGCTGAGTGGACGGTACGCTTGGCTGGGCATTTTGGTCACCCCTGAGCCCTAGGCGAGCGTCACCGCGCTGCAGGTGTTCAGAGAGGCCGCTGAGCCGCAGCTCCAGGACAGGGGCGGGAGGTGTGGAGATGCGCGGCTCCGCCTCCCCACCTGCCCCCATGGCCTCTGGGCCGGGGCAGGAGTTGCTGGCTGGGCCGGCCAGAAATTGGTCCTTCCTAGGGAGGGCATGTGTCTGCGTTCCCCCTGCCTCCGGTTCCCTGCCCTGGGGGTGCTAAGGCAGGGCTGCTGCCCAGTTCGGGTCTCTGTGTGCCCAGCCAGCTGCCCTGGGCCTGGGGATGGGTGAGCCACAGGCTGCGTCCCTTCCACTGACTACAGCCCAGCATTCTTGGTGCTTCCCACCAGGCTCTGTGGGGCTAGAAATGGTTGCCTGTCTCCTGTGGATGGAAGGTTCTAGGCCAGAGGCCACATGGTCTGCTGGTGCTGAGCCTCTGGGAGAGCCCGGGGTGAAGGGGCAGATGAGAAGCCCTTCCAGGGCCCAGAAGCCGCGAATGCTGAACACTGGGCCTGCTGGGGGCAGCAAGGCAGCCCAGGGCCCGGTGCCCCAGGTCAGAGGCCCCCCCGGGAGGCAGAGCCCACACCTGACCACAGGGAGGACCCTGAAGTGGGCAACAGGAGTCTTGGTCCCAGAGCGCGACCGTGGGCTTCCTTCTGAGCAGCGGGGAGGCCTAGGCAGGGTTCCCAGCAGGGATCCCCCGATCCTTGTGAGGTTCAGATGGGAGGAGCCCAGGTGGCTTGGGCAGGGACAAGGATGTTACTCGCCAGGTTAGATGTCCCAGGTCCGGGGGCGAGGAGTGAGGGTCGGTGGCCGAGAGCCCTGCCCTGCCCAGCAGACCAGCCAAGCACTCTCCAGGGGGAGAGGGGGTCCAGGTGCCCATTCCTCCATGCATCAGGCAGAGACTTCCGCAGAGCGGAGCGGTCACCCTCCTGTGGAGCCAGGCCACTCTGCTTCCACCTGGGGAGGGTGGGCAGGGAGGCCAGGACCGGATGCCACACTTGGCACCTGACTCGGGTCTGGTGTGGGGGCTGCAGCCTGTCCGGGAGACCCCGCCAGCTTGAGGCAAGGGGCACGAGGCATGCTGGGTGCCTGCCTGGCTTAGTGTGACCCTGCTTCAGGGCGGCGGGCGCGGGGGTGCAGATGCCTGCTCTGCACTGGGGGCTAGTGAGGGGCTGGGCCCTCGGCCTTGGCCCTGCCCACATGGTGGGCAATAGGGACTGAGGCCCCTCCACTTGCCGGGCTCGTGGCGGGGCAGGGCAGTCAGCTGCGGCCTGTTGGGGCGTGAGGACTGCCTGAGTCAAGTGTCTGCCCCCACCCTTCTCGCTGAAGGAGGCACCGCCTAGGGAGCTGGGGCCCCTCACTGCCCCCCTCAGGTCAGCACCTGGCCTCAGCCTGTCCTGCCCCGAGCCCCGGCCTGGCAGCCCCCAGCCCTCCCATTCCCCAGCCCCTACCCTCTGGGCCCCTGGCTTGCCCCTCCTGAGGCCTACCCACCTAGTGGGGGCCCTCCCAAGGGTGAGGCACGGGCCGGAGCAGCCACAGGTCGGCAGTCCCCGGCCTTCCACGGTTTCTGAGGTGGCCCCGCGATCCAGGTGAAGAACAGGACCCGAGGGGAAGGGGACCTGTCCTGCCCCCTCAGCCCTGGCCAGGAGGGAGACCGCGCCTCGGCATCCACCCTGCCGCACGTGCTGGGCCTCAGCATGTCTCTGTGGTCCCCGGGCACCCTCAGCCCCGCGTCGAGGCCGGGGCTGAAATGTGCCCTAGTTCTGCCAGCTCAGAGCCCAGAAAGCCTCCCTGGGCTCAGACTTCTCCTGAGCTACTGCCCTGCTGGCTGGGCTTCTTGCCGGGGAATTGAGCTGCTGTGGCCCCCAATCTGGGCGCATCCACAGGGACCATTCTGCTCTGTGCCAGGCTGGCCCTCACCAGTGGCAGAAATGGGATGGGAGGGAGGAAGGGCAGTCAGGCAGGAGTCACTTGGGCCTGCACTGGCAGAGGAGAGGCTGCCCTTCCAGCCTCTGGCAGCTCAGCCTGTTTGTCAGGCTAGTTGGTGATGGGAGGCAGAAGGGGATGTGCAAGGAGGAGCATAAATCTGACACTGCCCCTTGGTCACCAGGCCTCGCCACCCTCGTGCCCATGCCCTTTCTGGGGCACAGCCTGCTTCCCATGTGCCCTCGGGGCTGCCTCCCAACTCCAGAAGGCTCTGGGCAGTGCCCCAGGGGGGAGTTAGCAGCAGCTGTCCGCCAGGGGGTGCCACTGGGCCAGGTTCATGGGCTGGGATTCTGCCCACTGCAACCCACCAAAGCACCTGGGGGCCAGTAGGCCCGAGCTGTACCGCCGGTGACCTTCAGAAGACCCAGGGCAGGTCAGAGGGGCTGGAGCTGATAAGTGGGACACGTGGTCCCCTGCCCTTCTCCCACATGGCACCCCAGCTGCTGGGCCCCACAATTGTTGATCGTGAGAGGACCCGGAGCTGGTGCTTTTACACGAGTGAAAGACAGGTTTATAAAGGTCTCAGCAAGTCCCACGCAGGTCCTGCCCATGTCAGCTGGCAGGCCTGAGGAGGATGGAGTCCGTCCACCCCTTCCCTCCTGCCCCGGGCTTGCCATCAGCAGCCCGTCCGCTGTCCCTGGACGGGGCAGGGAGGTGGATGGGGGTCCAGCACAGCAGTACAAATGCAAACATCTTCATTTATTGCAGACTTTCCTTGTTTGTGGCAATTCCAGTGATCTGAACATTAATAAATACACATTTGTTTAAAAAAAATCTCCAGTGTCTAAGCTCTTTCATAAAGTCTTAAAATCACAAAAATAGGTTTACATTTTTCTTATTGAAACATTTTTTTTTTTTGGTAACAGTTTTGATGAAATTACTGCACCTCAAGGGGCAAAGCCCAGCTGCAGCAGGTAAGTGATAATATGAAAAAGAAGTTCAAAGACTCACCTTTTTTTACTTAGAAAACGTCTCATCCGTGGTAAACATTTGAGGATGATTTTGTATCTTCAAAAGGCCACTCACCTGTTAAGGCACATCTATAATTCATTCCGGCATGAGGGCTCTGGCATCTCATTTCGTTTGTGTCAAGCGTGTGGTCTCAGACCAGTACCAGGCACGCTTTTCCTCATGTAGCCATTAACACCCTCCCATTTTCACCAGAATAATAATAACAGCCTGGAAATCTTTGCACTTGATTTTCGTCGTATTTTATGGTTTCTCCTATTTGTAAGCAGCAGTGCTAATTTAATTGGGTACCTGATTTGAAGAACAAAAGAAACACTGACATCGTGTCTGAATAATTCTGGGCCCCATTCCACAGCCCCTCAGGCCACGCGGTGCCAGCTGCCCACAGTGGGACAGTCACAGCCGGTCCTTGGTGTGAGTTTCCAAAAAACAGCTTGGTAACCGTTGAAAAGTGGGGCTGTGGCTTTGTCCCTTTGCACAATTGGCCATTTGAAGCAAAATGAAGTAATTGGTCAGACTTGGGGGGTGGGACCCCAGCCTCCTGGAGATCCTGAGGCTAAAAGAGCTAGAAGATTGGCAGGAAGGAATGTGACATCCTGGAAGACCTCAAGCCTCTGTCTGAATCAGGACGTGTGAATGCTTTAAAATCCCACCAAGAACAGGAGCAGAGGGACAAAGGATTCCCCACCCGCTGTACCACTGGACCCTGCTGGGAGGAGCCAGGGGGACCCTCAGTTTCCACCCAGTCTCGGGGTGGCGTGGCCAGGGAGTGACCAGTGTGTGGCACCTGCATTCTACAGCAGCCTCCGCAAGTCCTGCCCAGTCCCTGGTTGCCCAGTCTCGGATCCACAACTGTCCAGGCAGATGGGGGCTGAGGGCAAACCTCAAAAAACCAGTGTGCTGAGAATCCAGGCGGCCATGTGTGATGCCCGCGGGCTCCTTGCTCTGGCCAAAAGCAGCAGCAGGGACTTCTGGCAACTTCATTCCCACCTCGCTGCACTGCACTCCCCACCGTTGACTCGCTGGGATGCCAGTTGCATCAATGCATGCCACGTTCAAGTCCAACTGTGCAATCTTCCTTACATAAAAAATAGTGAGAGATCCTCCCACAATCTCCCAGTATCAACAGAATCAATATAAATGCCAAATATACACAGATTTTGTGTTCTCAGAGTTCCATACAATATATAAAAGTATATACACCTCAACAAAGGAGTTTGCTTTAAGACGTGGGTGCCTCTGCAAAGGGCTGCTGGGGCCTCTGACCAGGGGCCTGTAGTGCAGGGGCATGCCCCCATGGGTGGCTGTCCTCAGGCTCTGGGCTGCGCCTGGCATCCCGGAAACCTGGCAAGTCTCACACGGCCAGCTCAGGCGCCGCCAGCTGCCATGCTGGGTCCCCTTCTGGCTAGGCCAGTGCACGGTTTTGGCTCTGTCTGCAGTCTGAGGATCAAGCTGTGCCAGCCCAGGCATCCACATCTGTTCATGCCTGTGGCCTTTGGCACTTGTCATGGGGTCAGATGGGTCCCCAGGCTCTGGAGGTAGCCATGTCCGGGCCATCAGTCACACCAGTCAAGAGGCTGCCGCTGCAGGACCCTCACCATTTGGGCCTGTATCACTGGAAGGCTGGGACCGCTCCAGCTCCAAGGTCAAGGGCGGGTGACACAGCACAGAGGCCTTGTAGAGGCGATGGGTTGGTCACGGTTTCCTGATGGTTCAAATTGAAGTTTCATTACTGCCTCTGTGCATGGGAAGAAGCATTAGGCAGGCAGAGGGTCAGCAAGGATGGCCCTGCTGCCCACGGAGCCAGCAGGTGAGCAGGGTCCAAACCCCTGACTCGGGGATGGGGATACCTGGGGGCTCCAAAGAGAGTAAGCTCAGGTGCGGACACAGCCCGCTGGAGGGCAGAGGAGCAGGGGAGCCAAGCCCGCACCCCTGATAACCAGGCCACCTGGAGGGCCAGGCCAGTCTGAGTGGCCACACAGCTGGCCTCGCAGTGGACAGTGGAAACCAGGTTTAGCAACCAAACTCACTCTTTACGTTTTAGGAAGGCCATTCTAGAAGACCTGGCTCCCGTTCTTTACTCCTCCATCGGAAGTCCACAGGAGGGGGCAGCTGCGGGGGAGGGCAGCAGGCCCGGCTACAGCCGGGCCCCCATCTCCACACCTCTGCAGGTGGGCACCCCTGCTGCTGAATGGGGGTAGCATTGGTCCTGGCCAAGGAGATGATGCTTATAAAATGCTTAGGCCGGCACAGTCTTACGTCCTAGAACTTCAGGGCTGGGAAGGACTTCAGGGCCCCAGCTGGTGTCACCCCAACAGGGCCTGACCTGCGGTGGCCTCCAGGACAGGAAGTCTGCTCTGATTCTCGCTGGTTCCCCTGACCACTGCCCTTCCTCTCGTGGCCCGTTCTGCAGCCCCCAGGCCTCTCTGCCTGAGCTCTCCGTGCTCGGGCCCCAGACCACTGCCCTTCTCTGGACTGGGTGCCTATCCTCTCCACGGGGACAAAGGGGGAAGCTGGTTGGGGGCCACCCCTGCTGCCCCTCCCCGCAAGGCCGAGGCCACTCACTCTGAGTCGGAACCTGCAGCCTGGGCGCTCCCGGCCCGCACGCTCATGGCCACCCCATTGAGGTGCTCGCGCCCCGGCTCCCGGTGCGGGGTCTTGACGGTGATGGCGCCATCAGGGGTGCGGGTCCCGTCGCTGGAGCCCAGGGAGGATGACCGTGATGACGCGGGGCTCTGCTCACACTCCGCCAGCTTCTCCCGGAGCCGGGACTTCAGGGTCTTCTCGGTCAGCGGCGGCGGGTAAGTGACTTTGTTTTTCAAAATGCCTTGGGAGGCGGGGAGAATGAGGTCACGGCCAGGCTGCAGGGCCCCGGAGCGGGATGGGACCTGGCGCATCTGAGCTAGTCTTCCTGCAGCCCCAGGGAGTGGGGCCAGCTCTGTTGGGGACCCTGCTCTCACGGCACCCGTCTGGACCCCAGCCCTGACCCCTCAGCTCTGCCCACCTGCATACCGCCTGAGCCCACCAGACCCTGCATGGCTCCCCTCTGGCCCCACAGCCTCTGCCCCAGTCTGCCCCACTTCTGCCTGCCTCAGGCCCAGGAACTTCCTGATCCCCCAGCTTCCCAGGGTCAGCAAGACCCTTGCCACTCCCAAGCACCTTTCCTCTGCTCCGGGGGCTGGCCGGGGAGCACGCCCTCAGGCTTGGGCAGACCACCGCTCTCCCGGTCCTGGGGCCGCTCGCTGCAGTGACCGCCCTGCGCATTCAGGTGCAGCTCCACGCTGACCTTGGTCTCCACCTTCAGGTGCGGCTTCCCGCCCGGCTCCTCACTGTCGCTCCCGGCCAGGCTCTCTTGGGGCCAGCTGGCTGGGATGTGGTTGGCCACGGTGTCGGCTGGGGAGCAAGAGTGGTCCTCAACAAGCAGGGAGGCCCCCACGCCACTTGGAACTCTGCCCCCTGTAAGTTTCCAAACCTCCCCTGCATGGGGAGCCCCATCCACCACCCCCAGACCGACAGGGCCACCCCTCCAGGCCGGGAAAGCCAGGCTCAGGGAGGTGCACCCCCACACCCGGGAGCCTCGTGCTGGCTCACAGCAGCGGGTGGGGGCAGCTTCGTGGGATCTTCGCAGGGAGGGGCCCCAGCGAGACCAGCACTTCCCTGCCTGCGTGTGGGCTGGCGGTGGCCAGCGGCCTCCCACCCACCATCCTCCCTGCTGCATCTGGGGCCCCAGCTCGCTCACCTTTGGGGGTGCTGTGCACTGGGCCCCGAGCCGGGTCCCATTTGTCCTCAGCCTCTGCCCTGTCGCCCTCGCTGTCCGATGAGTGTGAGGAGGCATACGAACTACTTTGCTCATCCAGGGACAGCTCACTGTCCGAGTCTGAATCGTGGCCTGTAGGGTGGACGGGAGGGATGGGGGCTCAGGCCTGGCTGGGGCTTCCTGCAAAGAACAGAGCAGAGCCACCTGGGCCCTGGACATCTGGGGGCACTTGGGTCCCTGCTGACCCTGGGACTGTGACGTGGGAGCAGATGCCTCAAGGTTGTACGTTCTTCAGGGACCTAGAAGGCCGTGGGACAGGTGGGAGGCGGCAAGAAGCCCTTGCTCATGGCCCCCACAAGATGCATGGGCTGCCGGGAGATGACCTCTGGGAACACATACCGTGGGGCTTCTTGGTGCTCCTGGGGACAAAGGACGAATCTGGCTCCCTGTGGCCACCCCGCCCCGGCCCAGAGGACACGCTGAGCTTCTGGCCACCTTCATCCCTAGAGAGGGTGGAGAGGGTGGGCTCAGCACCACTGCTCAAGGGAGCACATGACAGGCACCCGGTGTCGCCAAGCACCTCCTGCCTGGGCCACACGGCCACACAGGTTCTGGAAGGTTCTTGCCAGCAGGAACTGAATGAGCACGGGAAAGGCATTGCCTCGTGCCACTGGGGCCTTCCCAGCAGGCTCGGACGGGGGTGAGAACGAAGCCCCCCTCTGCCCCCAGAGCCCAACCCCCCCGCCCCCCGCCCCCGGGGCCCCTCTGGACCTGAGGGTGCTGTCCAGCGAGGCGGTGGACTCGCCCAGGGCCGTGCGGAACACGTGGGGCTCCTCGCCCTGGGTGTTGTTGCAGTTGAGGGAGCGCTGCAGGGGAGGGGCCGTGAGCGGCGAGCAGAGGCCGGCCCAGGTGCCGCCCACAGCCCAGTCAGCACCACCCCCTGCCCGGGCCCTCGCAGCAGCGCCCAAACCCTCCGTGGCCAGAGGAGAGGCTCGCCCCACAGCCACGGCTCTGGTCCGACCATGCGGCCGACCTGCTTGCTTCCTGGGGCCGCAGGCCGGCATCAGGCTCTACACCAGCCTCTGCGTTTGGCTCTGTGATGCCCCTTGGTGCGGACACCCGTGACCCCAGCGAGTGGTGCAGCCCAGCCCCCAGGCTCCTCCTACCGTCAGCAGGGTGGCCCGGGTGGTGGCCGAGTCATCCGGGTGGAGCTTCTTCCCGGCCAGCACCGCCTTCAGGTGCTTCCGGACCTCCCTGTTGAGCACGCAGTGGAACAGGAGGACCAAGAGGCCCTGGAGGGAGGGGCAGCGGGTCAGTGCCGGGCTCGGCCCTCCGTAAGGAAGCCAGGGCCCTGTCACGTCACGCTGCCCGCCCGCCTGCCCCAGGATGCACAGAGCAGAGCCCGCAGTGTCTGGAGCAGAGAGTGCTCGGGGCCAGCCTGGCCGCTGTGGCCATGGAGACGCCCCCCAGGGCCCACAGGGCTTCCCCTTCCCAGAGGCCTCTGCTTTCTTGAGGAGAGGGGAGACCCTGAGCTGGCTGAGCAAAGGACAGTGTCCTGACTGGCGGACCGAGGAGCAGGGTCCCTAGGAGGCCCTGGGCGGAGCTGGGCTGGGACAACAGGCTCCGTTCTCCCGGGATGTATGGGGCAGGCCTTGCTGCACCCCAATCCTGTAGCTGCACGGGCACCATGGCCATGGTGCAGCCCTGTTTGCCCCAAGAGCAAGGACACAGATGGACACTGGGTGGAAGACCCCCCCACACCCCCGGGGACCTCCCAGGGCCACTCGGGGCTGGGCATTTCAGAGAGGAAGTGGCACAGGTGACCCAGGACCTCACGGCCTACCTGTAAGCAGCTGAAGACGGCGAAGAGGTAGTGGAAGGTCAGTGCGTCGCGGTTCACCGCCAGCAGACCCAGCAGCCAGGTGGCCCCGATGAGCAGCAGCAGGACGAAGGCGGCCCTCAGCCGGGAGCTGTGGGGGCGCAGGGAGTGACCCCTGTCCCTCCACCCGTCATCTGTCCACCCATCCACCCACCCTCCCTTCCTCCCAGACCCCTTCTAGGCCTGGGCCAGGGGCCAGCCACGGGCTCACACCAGGCGAGCGGGCGAGCTTCCGTCAGCTGGGAAGGGGGCGGAGGCAGGTGCCTCGTCGGAAAGCAAATGAGTAAATAGGAAACTGAGCCACGGCAAGCCAGCGGGTGGGCGCCCACATGGAGGGACGGCCAAGGCCTGCCCTGCGCAGGGTCCCGCTCTGCCCCTTACGGGCAATGGCTTCCTTCTCTCTGCCTCAGCCTCCCCGCTGCGAAGGGTCAGCAACAGTGCACCTTACGTGGCATCTGTTCTGGGACTGCACCCGACTGGGTGGAGGACAGAGCCAGGCGGCACTGAGCCCCGCTCTGCAGAACCGACCCCCAGCACTGCGGATCCCATAGCGCCCCCCCCACCTCTCAGACCGGAACATGACCCCTGCCGGGTCTGGGCTGCCGCTGGGTACCTGCCAGGTCCTCCCCGCGCCAGCCTCGTCCCTCTCCTCCAAGATGCCCCTCCAAGATGCCCCAGACAGCGCTGAGCTGCGGCTGCCTCTCCCCCAGTGTGGCCTGCCAATCCGTGCCGATGCTGTGCCCGCCCTCTGGACTGGCCTGGCCAGTCGTCCCCGCCCCGTGGCAGCTTCTGGAAGGCCAGCGACCAGGCCGGATGATGGACACTTTCACGGGGCTCTGCCGGGCGTGTGAGCTGCACACTCAGGGGTCTCCCATCAGGCCCGCCCCAGGCCAGGCAGAGTGAGCACCAACTCACACGACCCCCTTCCTTTCGTAGTAGTGGCGCTTCCGCTGGCAGGACACCTTCGCAGAGAGGACAAAAATGACTGTGTTGACCTGAAATGAATGAAGCCGTGGTCAGGCAGTGGCTTGTCCACATCTTCACAGCAGACCTGGAAGGTGGCAGGGTGAGGCCCGAGGCCCAACCTCCAGCCTGCTGCATGGGCCCCACCGGGGGGCTGAGCATCAAGCGGTGTCAGGGGGCGTGGGTGTGGCCCAAAACCCGGGAACCCAGGCCTGAGACAAGGCCTTGGAGATGAGCGCCTCCCACCCCACCCGACAGCTCAGAGGAGCTGCTGACCTGGCCGGCCTAGGACACCCCCTCCAGCCCATGCACCCCAGCTTCCCACATCCCTGAGAATCGTGGAGCCTCACAATCAGAACTGTCGCGATGGGCCCGGCGAAGCTCCAGATCAGGGTGTCACGAAGGGACAGCCAGCAAAAGTCTGGGTTCCCGTAGCCCTGGGGGTCCAGGCCCACCGCCAGCCCTGGGCCACAGGAGGGGAGGAGTGAGGGCCAGCCCTGTGGGTGGGGCCACCAGTAGGCATCCCCTGCCTTGCCCAGATGGGACCCCACGGCCCCAGGGTCCCCTCAGAGGGAAGGGCAAGGAGCCACCCGGGCCGGGGGCTGCACAGCACATGGGGCACCAAGGAGGTTGGTGATGGGGTGGAACCAGCTGCCAGGGCACACTCGAGGGAGCACCTGGGAGCATGCACACATGTACACAAGCCACGTGCCACACACCACACACACCACATACCACACACACCCAGAAACTGCTCACCATTCCCAAGTGCTAAGCAAATGGGCGTTTCTTACATTACCTAAATCACAGCCATGGTGCTAACAACTGACAGGCCACAGTAGGACCACTGCAGACCCATCAAGGTGAAGTCGGGTAACTCCAGCAAAGGCCTTGTTCAGAAGGGAGCAGGTGTGACTGGACACTCCTGGTCACGCCCCCTCCGCATCCGTCCTGGGCTGTTCCAAAGCCCCACTGCACCCCTCATTCTCCCTATTTAAATCCTAAAAAGATCAGCTCTCCCCACTGCCTGCTTAAAACCCTCCAATGATATCCCACAACCCCCAGCAGACAGACGTGGCTGCTTCCACGGCCCTGTAGGCTCAACTCTGTGGCATGGCCATGGCCATGCTCTGAACAGTGTGGCCTCCTGTCCCGCCTCCACCCCAACCTGGCCTCAGGTTGGTCCCCAACCAGCTGCACTTCCCTCATGTCTTCACACAGGCTGGGCCCCAGAGGGACTCTGCCCCCTCATTCCTACTTGCCCTCTGTGCAAATGCCAGTTCCTCCAGGAAGCCTTCCTGGCCTGCTCCATCCCTGCTCCTCCAGCTCTGGGCACCCCCAACAGTGCAGGGTCTGCCACCAAACCTCTCCTCAACTTACTACTCAACTTCTGGGAGGGACGACTCCCAGAAGACAAGTGCTTTGCTGCTCTGCCTCTGTGCCTAGAACAGCCTGGCATGAGGAGGCACATGGTGAATGAATGAATGAATCCTGTGGGCATCCTGCACTGAGCCTGTGGGAACCAGGAGCACACACAGCAAAAGAGCCACACCGTGTCCCATCACCCAGTCCCCCTGGATCCTGGAGGGCCGTGTGGGGACAGGCACCCATGACCCCAAGATGAGGGTTGTGGCCATGGCCCAGACAGCCTGCCCTTCCTTCTGCTCCGGTGCCGGGCAGACATTTGGGGAGCGGTCCCCATGTGGGGCTGGGTGGCCCCAAAGGGTGGAGCCGGGACAGGAGTGGGCAGGCAGAAGAGAAGCCAAAGGCCACTGTCCAGCCAGCTGCAGCCACCTGTCAGCCAGGGGGAGAGGAAAACAAAGCATGGGGGGCAGCTGCCCTTGGCCACGCCTTCATCTCTGCCTCCAGTTACCCGGGAATCATCTTAGTTCTTTTGCAAAAGACTTAAGTGTTGGAAAAAAAACTGTTTCAATAGCAAGTTAGAAATGTGAAAAATATGAATTTAGACTCCAAAGCCTTCTGCAAGGCAGTGGCATTTCAAAATGTGTCCCTCGAGACACAGCGTCACTGCCCAGATTAGGTGTCATTGCGAGAACACAGGTGAAAAGCACCTCAGGGAGGCGGCTGTTAGCTGCTCCCCTCCAGCCCCACGGCGGGGAGACCTGCCAGGCCCGCGGCAGCCACGGCCCCTACCTGCCCAGGGCCTCTTCCCGGCAGGTGGGGCCGTGGGAGGATGGGGCGCTCCAGCAGGTCGCAGGGGCCGCTTTGGTCAGCCCGGGGCCAACGGCGTGGGTGGGGTGGACAAGGAAGTCACTTAATGTCACCTGCAAAGTGGGGACGGCCCCACTTTAAGTCACCACACGGAGTACCCAGCCTTGGTCCTGACCCAGGGCAGGGGCTGGTAGGAGGTCGACTTCCAAGAAGCCCCTGAGTGGTTTGGTCTGGGGGCTCTGCAGGAGCTGTGGCCCCTCTTGGCCTCCGCCGGGCGGCTTTCCAGGAGCAGACCCGGCCTCTGGGGAGGCCCCGCTCGGGCTGCTCGCTGCAGCCGCCGGTGACTCCCTCTTCTCCGTTCAGGACACACCCGGGAAGATGCATCCAGGTCCTGCCCCCCAGAACCTGTGATGTGACCCCACTGGAAGCAGGGTCTGTGCACATGTCATTCAACTGAGGGTCAGTTTGCTTCCACAGAGATGCTACCGTGGAAACCAGGCTGGGCTCGACCTACTGCTCTCACCCCAGGGTGGCTGCTGGACGAAGGCCTGGGGCAGCAACTGCCCCTTCTCCCACTGCCTCGGACTGCATGTCTGGGTCCCTGGAACCCAGGGCCCACGAGAAGGGGGACTGGCTCTCTCTTTGCGCATCTTCCCCCACAAGAAGCAAACTTGGGAGTTTCTGGCACTTGGTGCAAAGTGTACCAAGCAAGCGCTGCTGTTCTGTCCATTCATTCACTCACTCATCCATCCACCCAAAGGCCACCCACCCACTTATCCAGCCTCCACTCACCTATCCATCACCCGTCTATCCCACCCATCCATCACCCACTCATCCACCCACCCATCCAGCCATCTGCCCATCCATCACCCACTCACTCACTCACTTATCCATGCACACAGGGTGCAGACATAGAGTTTTTGTCTGTCAGATGTCACAAACAGACATGGGCCCAGCTCCCAAGCCCACCCCTAACAGGAGGCACCCCCACAGCCAGTGCTCCTGTGTGTGCAGATGTGAGCACAGGGCAGGGCGTCCTCCACTGGGGGCCGGTGCAGCTGGTAAAGAAGACAGAGCTCGTCCACCTGCACCCGGAGGCCTGGGCGTATCTGACGTGGGCTCCTGTGCTGGCAATGTCACATGGGTCCCCGGCCCAGGTCACCTCGGCACGTGGCTCCAGGGGTCCTCACCTGTGACGATGGCCGGGATGCCCCAGCCCACGACGTAGTAGAACCGCATGGGCCCCGCGTCGATGTTGCGCACCTCGGTCAGCATGCGGTAGACGTGCAGGCTCTCCACGAAGGTCCAGGCGAAGGTGCTCATGTAGACGTAGTGTAAGAGGATGGCGATCACCGTGCACAGGAACTACGGGGAGGGAGCCCAGCTCAGCGCCAGCCCCGCGGGGCCCACGCCCCTGCACCGCAGGCTGAGGGCCACATGGGGCAGGGGGGCAGGAGGAGGTGACCAAATCGGGCCACTCTGCAAATGCGGGTATGGACGTCTGAAAAAAGAAGCCAGGTGGGTTGCTCTTTTCCACTGGATTCACCCAGGAGTGGCTGAGGACCAGCAGTCCCGCCTCTTGGGCTCCCAGTGCAGAATGGAGGACGGGCATGAGGCCCCAGGGGACCCCCCCCCAACACAGATCAGCGTCACCGGTGGACATTGCCTGGGGGCCAAGGGAGGCAGAGACTCTAGTATTTTCATTAGAAGCTGGAAGCTGTATTTTCAACTCATGGTTCCAAATATTTAAATGTTGGCATTTAATTTAAAGTTAAAAGAAATATTACAGAGGCAGCCTGCTCAGGCCATGGCCCCCCGATGGTGACCTTCACCTTCACCCACCGCCCCAAACCTCATGTGAGGCTCCCGAGCAGCAGGTGTAGCCCAAGGGATGGACAGTCCCATGCTCTGAGACCCACTGGGAAATGAGCCCCGGTGCCCGCACCAGGCTAATGGAGCCTTACATCTTCTGCCGAAGAAAGGGCGGGGTGAGGGTGTGTGTCTGCTTCTGCCCTCGGCCGGGCGGCCTGCGTGTCTGGCCAGCGACCAGATGCCAGGAATACAGAGCTAACTTCCACGGGGCAGCTGCGGAACGGCAGCCTGGCCATGTGGCTCTGGTGGGCCAGCCCTGTGCCATGGGAACAGGAGGAAGGCAGTGGCGGGCAGGGGCTGGGGACACTGTGGGGTCTTGGGGAGTCCAGCCTCCACGGCCGTCCACGCTGATCCAGAGCAGCCGCACACACTGCCGTCTGGGAGGGGCTCCCCCGGCCGGGGCTCCCAAGGCCAGCCAGCTGGGGGATGTGGGCAGGATCCCCAGGTCCTGGGAGGCTGAGTAGCCACGTAGGGAAGGGCAGAGAATGCCTCCTCCCCTAGCTGAGCACCCCCCACCCCCCGGGACATTCTGTCCAGAACTTGCTGTCCCATCAGCCCGAGCTCCCACCCACCGCACAGACACAGGTAGGAGGCGGCACCCTCACCCACACCGCAAGCCGCTCTGCTCAGGTGCAGGTCAGTGCACCCCACGGGGAGCGTACTGGGAACACAAGTACCTCCTGCTGCGCTCTCCAGAAACAAAACCCCAGAGATGTGGGGAGGAACTGTCTTAGCATTAACGCTTGACAAATACACCCCAAAGCAGGAACCCAAACAGAAGGAAAAACGAAATCTCGGGTTAAGACTGAAGAGCGCCCCTCTGCCTCAGGCGCTGGACACGGGCAGGGAAGCGACACGGTGCTCGACAACGGGCAGAGCGGCCGGCTGGCCGCGGGGGTGCCTGGGGCTGGGTGAGCCCCACCTGAGCGCCCAGGTCCCCTGTGGGCAAAGCTCCGCTGCTTAGCAAAGGGAAGAGCAGTTGGGAGGTTGGCTAGTGGGTTGCCTTTGGTAATGTGAAAAGTAAACCCACAAAACCACCTTTTGACAAAAAAAAGAAGTGTTAGAAATACAGCATTTTAAAATTTAATGAGGCTGTACATGCACAGACTTTTGCACTCAATGTACTTACCTTTTCCAGAAACAGAACAAAGACAAACGCTAATGCACAATAAATCACTCTAACCTGCCAGTAATCTGGGAGATAAAAAACCTCGCCCAAAGATGGGATTGTGAGTTTACAGAAAACCCATAAAAACCAGGCGCAGTGCCAAGCCCCTAGAATTATGTACAGCCGGCATTCCTTCCCTTTGTGCTCAGCGGTGTGTGGCTGGCAGGCTCTCCTCCCAGGCGGCGGATGAGTCACTGCTTGAAATGAGCGGCCAGCCTCTCCACGTTCAAACGTGGTGTTCAGTTGCAAGGAGTGGCTTTCCACCAGCTCCACATCCCTCTCTTGAGACCACTCCAGGGCCCACTTGAAGGGTTTTGGAATGAGTCATGCAGCTTCCCACTGAGAGCCTTCACCTGTCTGATGCCCTGATAAGGGCGCGCATGCAGGTGGAGGTGCACCTGACTGCCGGCTGGGTGCAGAGAAACCGTGGTGGGAGCGGTGCGCCGGGGCAGGGGCCCCTTGCCAGCCCACCCAGCCCAGTGCCCTGGCTGCAGAGGGCTGCAAGGAGCTTTGCCCTTGTGCGCCTGACAAACGCTACGGGCGTGTCACCTGCCGGGCTTGGGGCTCCACGCGTCATGGCTGAGGAGCCACTGCAGTCTTCAGGACGTCTGCCTCTCAGTGCTGTCCCCATGGACACGACCCCCTTCTGGGGGCCTGAGGAGCCCCAATCCCCCCAGCTCCTCACGTCCGCTGTCTTTGTCTCGATTCTACCCACCAGATCTATGGAGATACCACCCTGGCTGCTTTTCTAACCTCCCTGTGGGGCCAGCGTCACCCTCCTAACACGCAGAGCTGCTCGAGGCTCTTCGTGGTGTGACACGGCCCACAAAAGGAGGGCACTGCTTGGGCACCAGACCTCCAGCCTGCCCCCAGCTGATTCTGGGCCTCTCCCATTGGATGGCAGGTGGGTAGTGCCATGCGGCCCTTCCCTGACTGGACACAGCTCGCCCACCCGCCACCATGACGCCATTTTGGCACCTGACACTCATCCACATCTGGACTGTGGGCTCTGCGGGCCAAGAAGGGGGGCTTCTTGGAGCTGGGGCTTTCATAGGTTTCAGTATACCCTGACTGCACGAGGAATGAAGAAACGAAGCTACGTCAACAGCCAACAGTGCCTGGTGGCAGTGTGGGAATGGGCCCCGAGGCATGAAGCCCCGTCTCCCACTTCCGGAGAGATCAGGACCACACGGGAGTAACTTTGAACTTTCTGGAGTCCCTGTATGTGCGTGACTGACAGTCAGCTGGCCTCACATCTCCGGAGGGCTATCAGGGTCACAAATCAGTGACGGACACGTCACACACACAGTGAACTGTGTGCCCTCGGGCGGGTCACTCCATCCGGGCAGTCCCTCCCCCGGAGGAAGGGGCGCTGCCACTTCCCAGAGCCTTAGGAGGCTTCCAAGAGCCCAAGTGTTAACGTGAAGCCTTGGGCACCAAGCCTGTGCCTCCACCCGTGTCCTCACCGCATGTAATTACCTTGTATTTTCAAAGTCTTCTGTGTGAGAATGGAAGGCCGCCTGCCACCAGCCAGGCACTGCCCAAGCCAGAAGCCTACTGCCTTCCACATGCTATTTGCCACTGTTATGCCCGCTGTGCTGCAGCCTCACCTCCCGGGTTGGCCCCCTGCCCCTGAGCCCTTGCCCCAGCCCCCGGCCCACCCCTTCCTTCCTCCCCTTGACGTTACAGGGCTCTGTCTTGCACCCCCAGAGGCTCGGCCAGGCCCGGGGGACCAGCACCTCACCCTGTCCTCCCTTGCTGCCAAACCTACTGAGGTGTCTGCCAGCACCTCCTCTGAGGCCCCTCCACGGCCCTTTATAAATTACATCTGATCACTACACGGCTGCACCAGAATGCCACTGACTTCACACACACGTCTCCAATGCTCAGCGGCCCTGGTAAACTCTCCGGTGATTTCTCATAACGTGTCTGTACATTGGTTTGGGTTTTTCTGCGAGGTCCACCCTAACACCTGAATCGCCTAATTGCCAAAGTAACTTCCATAAGCCCATACATGAGCCCACATGGCCAGGCAGCTCCACAAGACACCCCTACTTGACCAGCCCTCGGAGACCTGCTCACGTCCCTCTCGGTCCTCCCCTGCATCTCAGCAAGCTCCTGTCTCTCCTCTTTGTACCTGCTAACAGCCCCTCACGGAGTTCTGGGCCCATTCTATATGTCCCCCATTGCTGGCGGTGCACTTGGGCCGTCACTCCCGGACGGTGCAGAAGGGGAGGCACCGCCCACAGGGCCATAACCACGGACATAGCGTGTCCTCAGGCCACAGGGCTCCAGGTTTGATGAACGACTGTAATTCCCATGAAATGACTAGCATCTGCAACAGGAAAATGAGTTGGCGCACACAGAGACTCCGGCCCTCCTGACACGGCTCCCACGACAGACTTAAGGGAGATTCCGGCTGGGAGCCAAGCCCCAGCTTGGCCGGGGACTCCCAGCGTTCCCAACAGTCCCGCTGCACCCCCAGGAGGGGGGCAGCACCAAGGCCCCGCCCAGTCCTGGACAGCAGGGGGAGTGGGGAGCCCCTGCACCCCCAGCAGCACAGAGGCCGCCCGCCGCCCACGCCCAGAACAGCAGCAGGCCTCACCGGGTTTTCCGTCTGGGCAATCCCAATCACGAAGACCAGCTGGGAGAAGAAGAGCGCCCCCACCAGGTTCCTGTGGATGTCATGCAGGTTGGAGCGCAGCATCTGCACCAGCGCCAGGAGGATGAAGGCCACCAGCAGGGCGGCCAGGGACAAGGCCACGGCAGTGTAGGTGACGATCTTCAGGGGCAGGACCTCTCCATGCTGCGGGCGGGTTGGTTAAGGGCAAAGAATGTAAGGGCCGGGGCCCCAGTGGGGCTTTTGCACAATGACGAAACCCTAACATACCAACTGTTGGGGCAGAGGTCACGTGACAACGCGTGGCTCTCCAGGGGCTGAGACGGGGAGCAAACCCACACAAAGAGTTTGGGGTCTGGAGGGATCGGTGGGGATGGCTGCACAGCGGTGTGCATGTGCTTAACGCCCGACCCGTACACTTAACCACAGTGGAGGTGAGTTTTCTTATGTGTATTTTGCTTCAAAAAAAAAAAAGTCACACATAATCCTGCATCCAGGAGATGCTGAGCCTGCCTACCCAAAATTCTGGGCTGGGAGAAATCTTCCAAATGAGCCGGGTTTGCGCGAGAAGCAGCTAGGCGCGGCAGTGGGGGCTGCAGCTGTTGCCCGGTTCTGCAAAATAGGACACTTGTCCAGGACCTGGTCCCGTGGGGACTTCTAGGACTTGGGAAAACAAGCACCCATTCTGCAGGAACTTCTGGAAAGGGTTTTTCCAAATGCACACAGAATTCTGAGCTGGGCTCCCCAGGGAACTAGGCTGGGCTGGGGAGGCCAGGGTGCTCAGGGACTTCTGCAGCTCCATCCCAGAGTCCCAAGACCCGCCCCCCCCCACAGTGGAGGGCCACTCGGGCTCTGGCTTTGTGGACCTTGGGAACAGGGGCCTTGACGCCTACTCTGCTCTGGCTTCATTTCTTCTACCTGAATGTCAGCTTCCTCCACCTAAGAGCTGACTCCTGGCACTGCCAAGCTTTCCTGGTCCTGAGAGGATTCCCCCCCCCAAGTCCCGCCCCCACGTGGACAAGGAACACTAACAATTAACCCCCTCAGGCCTGGGCCCCGGACTACCCGCCCACGCAGCCATGCCAGCGGAAGGCCTGAGGGCACTCTCCCGCCACCCTGACGTCCATCAGCGCGACTCAGGGCTGAGTCACCCTCCCAAGAATGTGACAGAAGCTTGGCCTGCTGCCCCGCGGGTCAGGGGGCGATGGCCCGGCCTCCCAGGACACATCCCCGGCCTGCGAAGGAGGCAATGGTGAGGTCACCCCGGCCTCCGTGCTGGCTCCTAGACACCGGCGTCCTGAACACGTCTGTGCCCAGCTGACCGTGCTACTGCCTTGCTTGGGGCCCTACAGCCCATCCACGGCAGGCCCAAAGGCCGCTGGAAAGACTACAGGTTAAACATGAGCTGCCCCACGGAGCCTCCTGTCTCCCGGGGAAGGGAGATACTGCTTTTACTCCCGCCATTCGCCTCCTTTCTTCCTGTGAGGGCGGGAGAAGCAGCACCGGCTGGCAGGCACTGAGAAGCCCTGAGAAGCCCGCTGTGAAGTGAGGAATACTCCCCGGGGTTCTTCTCAGTTTGAGGTTCAGGTCTGCCATCACTGCTTTTAATTTACAGCCTGGCCTCTTTGAAAGCCCTTTTGCAAGGCGTTTTGTCATGGAAATCCTGACAGGGCCACCAGCCCTCCTGGGTTCCATTTGTTCAAAGCACCTGGAAGGGAAGACAGGACTTGCAGAGGGGCAGGTCTGGGAACCAGGCTGCCTGGGGGAGCTGCACCCACCTCGCGTCTGGAGATGTCCATGAGGACAGCAAAGCTGGTCATGTGGCTGCACTGGCAGGTGACGTGGGTCCTGTTCCTGGACAGCAGCTCACAGCCCTTGGCTGACCACCCTCCAGTCCCGCCGACGCTGCAGAGGAAAGGGGGGTGGGTGAGACGGATCCCTCCACCCTGGGGCCTCCGAGGCCCTCCTGCCCCCGCTGGAGCCCACGTGGTGTCCTGCTCTGCCCAAGGCAAGTGCCACTGTCACCCAGAGAAGACAGCAGCCAGCCCTTGCTGCCACTTGGGACCAGGTGGACACTCGCCCTTCTCTCTGAAGCTCCTGGGTGGAAGGACCCGGCAGTAAGACTTGAACGGGGATGACTGAGATCCACCACACGCCTCTTTGTCAGAAACACTGGCCAGTGGTCCAGCAGCCACTGTGTGCTTCCCTCTTCTTTTGAGTTGATGTAAGAAATAATAGCTCATGTTCGCGTCACACCTCCACCCTGAGGTCGCACCATGTCCGATGACAACCACCTGGAAGCAGGCCCCGACCATTACCCCCACTCTGGGATGGGAAGCCCCCGAGGACCAGCTGCCGCGGGTTTCTGGGCCTCAGAGAGAGCCCTGCCTTCTCCTGACTCGGGGAAAAATCAAGTAATTTCTCTGATCCTTAGTTTACTCATCTGTAAAATGGGGTGTGGAGACTGATACGTGTTTGTCAAGAACTTTACAGTCCAGGAACCATAGGTGCTGCCTAAAGAAAGGGTGATTAGAGCCATCGCTAATGGCCAGGACACAATCAAGTGGCCACGAGACACAGCTGAGTCTGAGGCCTGCCAGGCAGGCCTTAGCATTTCCCTCCTCGTGAACAGGGGCCTGCAGTCCTTCCTGTAAGCCGAACATCCATTACATTCCAGACACTATACCGCTTGCCCATTAACCAGGATTTGGAAATGCAGGGGGGACAGAGCGACTTGTGCAGGCTCTGCTGAGCCCAACCTGCTTCAAAGCATGAGCCCCTGAGGCCGGGCATCCGCACGCTCATCCTGGCACCAGCACCCAGCACAGCCCTGCTTAGTGGATACCCACTTAATCCAGGGGAACCACAATTTTAGGGAACATGTGTTGCACAGGAACAAACGCACAAAACCCCATCCTGGCTTCAAGTGTGGGGGTTGGGGGTCAGGTGAATGGATCCTGCAGAGGCAGGCCTGGCCTCCGAGGGGTCACACCAGCCCCAGTAGCTGGCTTACTGGTCCCATGGGCAGGCTGGCTGAGGTCAGTGACCGCTGTTGGGTACGAGGACCTCCTCATATCTAGGCCGTCCTGCTGTTGTGCCCTGGGCCCTGTCTCTGAGTCCCGCCTCCCATGTGTGTGCGGAATGAGCCCCTGCCTCATTTGGACTGGGCGCCTGTTGGCAGCTGCCTCATGCGAGTCCTGCAGGTACCCGGCCCTGTCCCCTGGCCTTCGCAGGGCATCTGTGTGCGTCTGTGTGTGCATTTCTACTTCTAGGTGTATATGTCCGTGTCAGTGTATGTGTGTGTGCGTGTCGGTAGCCGGGTACATGTGCACACACGTGCCTATCTATGTTTCTAGGTGTGCGTGTCTGAGTGTGCACATGTAACTCGTGCAGGGGACTAGTCTCCTACCCCGTGAGGGGCTGGAAGGGAGCAGCAGACTGCAGAAGAGCACCCGTGGGACCTTCTCCAAAGGAGCACTGGGGGCCTATGGGCACACTCCAGCCTCAGCAAACGGCCCCCCACCCCAGAAATGCAGAGGCCCGGGGGCCCCTGGCTCCCGGCGTCCCGCTTACATGACAGAGTGGTTCCAGAACACGCAGACGGGCTTGGTGCGCTCCTCAGTCTCCAGCAGGGTGTACTCCACCAGCACGGGCCTCTCCAGGGGGCTGGGAAGCCGAGCGCCCTCACTGTACACCACCGCGCTCACCACCGGCGTGTTGATGACGGGCCGGCTGGGCAACCTGCAGTCAGGAAGCCAGACGCAGGGACAGACGCACTTAAGAAACACTCGCAGAAAACCTGTGTGCAGCCACGGTGCGCATACGGGGCGAGCGGCTTTCCTGGAGAGGCCGATCATAGCGCGAGCTGGGGGCTGCGGCCTCTGCTCTAGAGAGCACCCCGTGCTACCGCAGGGGCAAGCTCGCTGCAGGCTCTGCTGCCGATGGGGCACACAGGGAGCGTGTCAGCTGGGGGCTGAAGCTGATTCGGTACATTTAAAAATGAAGAGAAGAGTGTGCAGAAGGTGTTGCAGCCCCATAATACATAACGGTGGGAGCGCTGGGAGCAACTGGGGCGTCCCTGGTGGGATAATGGCAGGTCACAGAGGGACTCCACACCACCACCGAGGAGGATGGCTATGAAGGCTGCAGACCCAGAGAGAGGTCTGGAAAATGTTAAGATCGGAAAAGAAGCCTCGCTGTGTGCCCACCTCCAACCAGGGCCGGGAAGCCCTTCTGGGCGGTATTCACTTCTAGGGCCAATGTTCAGCAGCTCTTAGTGTGGGACCACCAGTGACCCGAGGCAGACAGGTGTGGGGATCAGCTCTCCGAGTCGATGCTGGGCGTGGTCCATCGAGGCAGGAGGCGGGTGTGTGCCAGGCAGGGGGTGTTCCCGGCAGGAACACGAGGGACAGTGCCCGTCTGGCAGACCCAGAACCTCTAAGGGACATGACAGGGCAGGGGTCTCCGGCCTTGGGCCAGGACCATGGTGTAAGGTCCTTATACAGGTGTCCAGGTGGTTAAGACTTGGACTTAAGGCTGCAGAGCCCTCTGGGAACGGGCCCTCCCTGCCCTCCTAGCCTTACCGGAGGCTGCGGCGGTCAGGGTCGTAGTGCTCGGGAAGGAGCTGCCCCAGAGTCCGGTAGATGATGACCAGGGCGACGGCAAACTGGCCGGGCTCCTCGGGGTGCCTCTTCCGCCTCCTGAACGGGGCCTCCCCCTTGGCGCTGGGCCCCGGGAGCACCGTCTGCAGGGTGGCCTTCCGACTGGCTGGCCTCACCGTGGGGCCCTCTGCAACGTGAGCATGGAGGGTGAGGGTGGGGGCCGGCCCCCCAGGCTCCCAGCAAACCCACTTCCTACCTGGGAAGGCGCTTCTTGAAATCAAGAGAAGTTCTGGGAAAACAGTAAGAGTTCCTCAAAAGATTAAATGTAGAGCCACCGCACAGCCCTGCAGCCCCACTTCCAGGGGGGTGCGCCCAGGAACTGAAAGCAGGGCTCAGAGACCCCTGGACTCTCATGTTCACAGCAGCACAACTCACAGCCAACATGGGGTGGAAGCTGCCCAAGCACCCATCAGTGGTGGGAGGATAAAGTGTCTGTCCACCCAGTGGGACCTCACCGAGCCTTAGAAACAGCATGCTGACACCCCCCACAGCATGCATGCACCTGAGGACGTCAGGCTCTGCGAAAGAAGCCGGACACTGTGTGTTCCCACGTACGTGGGCACCCGGAGTTGTCAAATCCACAGGCAGCACAATTGTGGTCTCTAGAGGCTGGGGAAGGGGCACGGGAGCCAGTGTCGACGGGGACAGAGTTTCAGTTTTACAAGACGGAAGAGTTGTGGAGATGGATGGTGGTGATGGCTGTACAACAATACGAATGTGCTTAATGTTGCTGGACTGTGACCCCAAAATGGTGAGTACAGTAAATTCTATTACATGTATTTCACCACAATTTTAAAAAAAGCAATAGCTACCAGCTGATGTGCATCACCCAGGGCAGGGGTCCCCACCCAGGCCTGCTCATGGGGGCACGCAGGAGGGACGGAGACCCGAGGGGGGTCCGTGTGGGTCTGTGTGCCCTGCTTCCATGCCCTGTAAGACTTGGATGTGCTCTAGAATATACATGCTCGAGGGATGCAGGAGGGCATGCACAGACCTTGTAAATAAAAATACATATTATGTGGTGTACATTCTTAAAATTTCTTGTAGCCTGGAGCCACAGATGCCGGAGGCACTGGTTTAAACCTGGATTTCTGGGTCTGCGTGTCCGGCACAGAGTTACACATCGGGCATCAGCCCTCAGCCCCATTCCAGCTGCAGACGGCCATGCCCCTCCAATTCTGTTAACCTTGCAGGAGATTCACACACCCACATGCACCCACATTTTCAGCAACCAACGAAGTGCCCCTGGCTGCCTCTGATCCAGAGTCCCCTCTGAAGGCACCCAGGCCACCCATCATCTGGCGCGTGTTGCTGCAGAGCCCAGGCTCCTGGGAGGCAGGAGGGAGGCCATGCAGCTGGGGAGAGGGAGGGCACAGAGGCGAGCCTGGGGACGGGCTGTAAGGCACAGCATGTGGTCTCACAGCATGTGGTCCCCCCCGTGGACGGGGACGCTGCACACCGGACGGCCCATGACTTGGAAGAGCAACTGGTGTCAGATAGGCAGGCACACACTCACTGTCCTGCTGGCCCTGCTCTAGTCCATGACCGGTTGACAACCCTAGTTAGTCACACCTAGTGTGACACTCAGACTGGTCAGCAACACTGCTTCACGGGCATGCAGGGGCTGAGGCTCTGCCTGCCATGGGGGCCCGTTTCCCAGGGCTGGTGCTGAACCCCTTTTTGGAGGCCGTGGCTGGAGCCTCGCCAGCCTGGCTGTAGGACATCAGCCCCCACTGTACCTGCTTTGGCGCACTGGTCACCTAACCTAACCGACCTGTCCCAGCTCTCCCTCTGGGGGAAAGGCGGCACAGGCTGTCGGCTTGCTCCAGTGAGAGAGCCTGATGACCCCCAGTGCTCCCCCAGCTGAATGGTCCTCCCAGGCACCCCCACCCACAGGGCCAGATGCCACCGCCCAGGGCTGGGACTTGTCTTGGGTGGATATGGTCGCCTTCACACACACGTCCATTGACAAGGTCTCCACTCCTGCAAGATTCCATAAAGTGGGGACGGAACAGAGGGGCCGTCTCGGTTCCCCCCAAGTGTTCCTCGCCTCTGTTCCTCCCTAAGTCTGCTGCCTCCCAGGTAGTTGCTTCTCGGCGGCAGCAGGAGATGGCTGGACATCCCCAGACAGGCCCCCTCCCACGCCCAGTGAAAGCCGGCCCTGCCAGCACTGCCCGAGCCCGCCCCCTCCATTCGCTCCTGGCTCCCGGCCCCCGTCTGCTCAGTGCACTGGGTCTAAAGCCTTAGTTTCTGCTACAACCCAACTGGCTCCTCACATCTCCCACTGACCAGTAGGCTGGCAGGTGGGCGCCAGGGCTCCCCTCTGGGGAGGCACCTGGGGCTCCTTCCCCCAGCAGGATGGGCAACCCTCACGCACTGCCTGGGCTGAGGGTGGCCGGAGCCTGGGGCGGGAGCCTGGAGGCTGGGGCTGGGCGAGCGCCTGCCTGCGAGTCAGGGCAGAGAAGGATTTGGGCCAATGTGGGAAGCCCAGTGTCCCGGGCATTTCAAATTGTCCGTTGTAGGATTTTCATAGAATTTTTGCGTTTTCAAGGCCCCGTTATTCTGAGATCTTTTCAGTAGCTGGGGTGCATATGTGAAAAAGACTTTAAGAAAATTCAAAATGCTTAAGCTGTTTGGTATGACAATCTTAACCCAGGATCGAAGAATTGGACATAGATGGCTTCTGGAATTTTTTTGTGGGGGGTGGGGATTCTAAAATTTCACCTACACACAGAGGCAGCTTTTCATGGCTTGTAGCTCCAAATTTAAGTGTTCTCTCGCTTGTCGTGCTGGGAGAGTCAGCTCAGTGTTTGTAAGAAACGACCCACCATTGCCACTTGGGCAACACCGGCTGACGCCCTGCCGGCCCTGCTGTTCCAGGGCAGGTGTGCACCCCACACCCACGGGACGTGTTCTGCCAGTCGGGTCCTGCAGAGGGACCCCACTGTCCGCAGACAGCCACGAGGCCACCAGGGGCCATACCTTTCCTCTCGGGCGGTTTGAAGAAATCAGCCGTGAAGATGACAGAGGACCCCAGCCCTCTCGGGAGCTCTTCACGAATGTCCTCGAACCATGGCACCCTGGCTCCCGTGAAGTTAAACTTGTTGAAGACGTCCACGGCGAGGACTGTGGGGACATCGTGCCCTCACACACCATGCCCGACCCCTCCCACGGACAGCTCTCTGCAGCCATCACCAATTCCAAACCGGGGGGATGGCTGTCCCTGACTGATGGCCTTTGAAAGGCCCAGGCCTTCCTGGTGACCGATGACTGGGGGCATTCAGAGGTGACTCCCTGGGAAGGGACAGTCCCTTGGTGCTATGCAAATGACCACTGGCTGTTTCATAAACCCGTACAGGAGAGAACACAGACCCCTGCCCATAGGATGGGTCCCCTCCAGGGACCCTGACAGCTCTGTCTGGGCGAGGAGAGGCCTGGCTCTATCCTACAGGGCTTTCTCCCCACGAAGGAGCCTGACAGTTTAAACAGAGCTGTCCTGGACTCCGGAGGTGACTCAGCTCACAAAGCATCAGCTCCCGGATGAGGGAGGGCGGGGGTCCCCCCGCCGCCCAGGAGCCTGGCCGGCCTGGCCCATCCCCTCCCCGGATCTGCACCTCTCTGAGTGAGCCCGGAGGGTGAGACCTACGGCCAGACCCTCCACACCCACTTCTCCAGACAGTCTCACACCCAGGTCCTGAAGGCCCGCGTCAACCAAGGTCATGCCTGAAGACCACCGAGGTCATGCCCTAGCACCTCTGCTCCCCACCTCCCCTGCCCGGCACCTGTCCCCGATTTCCTGGGCCTGGGAGCGATGTGTGTTTCCACGGATCACCTTGGAAAAGGCTGGACAAGGGTCCTATGACCCCATTTTATAGACAAGGAAGCAGAGGCCAGAGGCGTTGACTCTTTCCTCAGAGATGGCTGAGCAGGGGCTGCACCCCAGACAGGCCCAGGGGCCCGCCCGAGGGGCAGACCTGTCACCCGGCCCCATGCTGGCTCGGAGTCTTACTTATGTTGGCGGTGACGATGACGAAGGGCCTCAGGTAGGTCCTCCGCACGTTCTGCGCCACGTTGCTGAAGTAGGCCTCGAAGCGCCGCAGCAGCTGTGCCGCGCCCCCCTCGCTCCGCTGGATCTGCTCCCAGGAGGCGCGGGTGGCCGGGGCCAGGAGGGCGCTGCCCGCGTGGACGATGTCCTGGTCAGACGGACAGATGGATGGCACTCAGCTCCCGTGTGTGGCCAGCCACAGAGCCCTGGCTAAGGTGATGGGCACACCAGGTTCTAGAAATCTAGAAAGCCTTTAGCTCTCCCAGGCAGGCCAGGCCAGGTCCTTGGTGCCAGAGACACTGCCACGGAGAAGCCTGCCACAGTTTCACCACATACCCTGAGCCCCAAGGAGAGAAGGCTGCACGTCGGAACCCCAGCCCAGCAGGCAAGCCAGGCGGTGGGAGCCGCTGCCCCTCTGCTCGGAGTGCAGTGATGCAGTCTGAGGGCCTGCAGCGGTCATTCTGCAGGTGACACTCCTGTCCCACCCCCAACCTCTGGGTTCATGTGTCCAGGTGGGCGGCATGGGGCAGACACATGGGGCTGTCCTGGGCGGGCCACACCCATGAGAGAAGCCAGGAGGGGGAACTTCTGTTTGCAAAGAACCAAAAACTGGAAGAAAGTGCATCAACCAAAGCCTGTGGGCCTGGACTGAAAGCAAACAGGGGACCCTGCCTGGGTACTGGGGTCTGCATGGACGGGGAGGCCCTGGGGCTCTGTGTGGGTAGGGAGACCCCCCCAAGCGCTCTGTGTGGATGGGGAGGCCCTGGAGGCTCTGTGAAGGTGGGGAGGGCCCCCCAAGTGCTCTGTGTAGATGGGGAGGCCCTGGGGGTCTGCATGGATGGGGAGGCCCTGGGGGCTCTGTGT